GTAAAATATTAACCGAGATTTTTCTTATTTGTAGGAATAATAGATGTATGATATTAAAGAGATTTTTTTTTGCCTATTTGTGTTTATAGAGGATACGGATTAAAGGCACGGATTGCCCCACCCCTATCCGCTTTCCCCTCTCCGAAATAATTATGATAACCGATCATTTCCATAACTTTAACTCTACACCATAATACCATTGTTCCTCCGGATATATCAAATCCCCCTCGGAACAATCAAATCTGGCTTACGAACGGACCTGTTTAGAAGAGTTTGGCTATATTAATATCAATATCACTTATAGCATCTATTTGCACTATACCGATTTCCAGTTGACGCTTCACCTATAATAAACTTTACATGATGACGTCATTTATTTCTCTATGGTTCTTACATTATGCTCTGCTTGAGGTTTTCTCTGGAATTGCAGGAATCGCAGACATAAAAACAAGAAATAAAATTGGTGCAAATAGAAGCTACAAGTTTTGTCCTCGATACATAAAAAAACGGAAAAAAATATCTTTGAAATCCCTTTAAGATCGTTATCAAGTAAAAAACCTTAGTTTCCATAAAAAAAATGTCCCATTCTGATGGATTAAGACGTCTGAGCAATGAATATTCAAAACAGTATATTCTTGAAAAACAAATAGAAGGTTATAGACCGCGTACTTCATGACCTGGCCGGCTATACGTACGATATATGCGGCCATGTACTTTAAAGCCTAGTTGATGACCGTCGACATACGATGAATGCGATCTTGTACTTTATAACATGGTCGATGACCGTAGACATACGATACGATCTTGTACTTAATGACCTGGTCGATGACCGTCGACATACGATGGATGCGATCATACCCTTTAGGACCTTACCGGTACACGATTGGATGCGACAGTGCTCTTGGTCGATGACCGTCAGCATACGATAGATTCAACCATGTTCGTGATTATCCGGCAGTTGACCGTTGACATATTCGAACATGTGCTTCGTGACCTCGCCGATGATCATCGACCTTCGATGACTCAACTAAATGCCATTGGATTAAGATTGCATTTTTACATATTTTGTCTCTTAAAAAACATTACACCCCAGTCGTAAAATGATATAAGGTGCTAAGTTTGGCGTCTAACTGGAGCCAACTTACTGGTTTAAAAATATGACCTCGAATCTGCACAATGTTAAAATATCAATACGTGTTATGATGGCGTATTGCACAAAAATTCGATAACACTATAGTATACTATAGGTAATTGTCCTCGAATGCGCTGTTTTCATTTTCATGTCGGCCGCTTTTTTAATTTTAGTTTAAACCTTTTACGGTCGATATCTCACCCACTTTTAAATCAGGGTGAAATAACCTTCAATTAAAGGGACCCAAATAAACAAATTTTAATTGAGTAAACAGATTTGTTTATCAAAAATATCAAAATACATGTAGCCATTGGAGGAACCAGTGGTAGTACCGAATCCCCCCACCCCCTCCAAACACCCCCCACCTCCCACCATTACGACAGTCTATCCTAAATTCGAAAAACACGGCAAAATTTAGCATGTATCGGTCAAACATAGACAATGGCTGTTTAAAAAAAATATAGATTGATCAGACACTTTCGGACTATTATGCAACCGAAATTTACTGAAACTTAAAAAAATATTTTCGAAATTGGGCCTTTAGTACATTGAAAATTGAAATTACTTTGTACTAAGGACTATATAAGGTATCAGTATTCGATATTTTAGTCTCGTGACCTACTAATAAGCTAAAAATAACTTTGGTAAACAAGTTTATAAATTACTTTCAAAGGTTATTTTAAATATAATTTCAAAACAACTTAATAACTTTATGAAATTATGTTTACGTGTCCTTTTGTTATATAACTACTATATACTTTATATACTTAGATTTCGGAGGGAGGGTTTGATTCTCCTAGATGTACAGACCTAGAATGGAGTTTTACGTCATATTCTTCTGCACCATATTGAGTTACGAAGACGGGCAATGTCAGACAGTATACAATGAGGCAAAGTGAAACATTTTGTTTTAGTCATTACCAGTTTCGTGCACTCGTAAAAAGTCTTTACATGGCATGCAGCCTGGGAACGAAATAGGAATCACGTCAAAACGTTGCATTAATTACAACTATTGATTGTTGCTCCATGAAGCCATGCTTATAGCCTATACTCGAAAAAGACTAATCGAAATGGAATTTCACGTCCTAATATTCTACACTTAAAGATGGTCAATGCCATGCAGTGTGCAATGAGGGGATTTTTATAGCATTTAAAGCCTATTCCGTTTCGATTTCTTCTAAAAAAAATCAAACGTAATGCACAATCCAAATACTTTTTTTTACTCATACATGAACATTAAGGTACAAACTTTTGTTTTTCATTTTTTAAATTTTTAAGTTTTTTAATTTTATTACAGTCAAGTATTTACTAGATATTTTAAATATGACACAAATAGTGCCCACGCTTTTAAAACTCATTACAAACTAACCTATTTTCATTACTGTGAATTTACAGTGTTACATTAAAGATTTTAGATTGCATTCAACTCGCCTTATGAACGTCATAGGACGAATTCTTATCGCAATTTCTAATATGCAGTGTGCAATGTGGAAACTTTTGTCCGGAGAGCTAGCGGTGGAGATTTCTGTCGACCTCAAGCATGCTGATCGCACTATTTGATATAGACGAAATAGAAACGATAAAGTTTTACGTTTAGCTAATGATAATATGTACAATTCCATGCAATATGCATGAGGGAAATTTTACCAGGACAGCAGCGTTGGGCGTTGGTCTACTCTATTTCGATGAAAAATGAAAAACAAGACAAATAGTAATTTCGTTATACTTATAGTCAAAGTTATTCCAGTTTATTTTTCTGGTGTAATGAGATACTGTGTTCGATGCACGAAGAACCGATCTGGAAACGATTCAGATGGTCTTATTCTTAATTCTATTCTGTAGAGTCGTATACGTCTCAGATATAACCAAGCTCCGTACACCGCACCGGACACCATATCCTGGTTAGTAAATGACGTTAACGTTAGCGTCCAGTGGATGCTGATATCGCAAACTATGTACTATGTAGTTGTTGGTAGTCGTAGTAGTTGGTAGTTGATAAGATCGGTCGTCGTACCTTGTTTATTCTCACCCTTAATCAGGTAACCTTTGAAGTCTATCGTGTCAATCAATTCGCCAAATAAGGACGGTCATTGAAGAGTTAGTTATCTATTTGTCAATGAAAGTCGAATAATTCGGTCAGTTTATTCATTCATAATTTATCAGTGACTATACTATACTTCTATAACAGTGGCGGCGTCAGTCTACTGAGACTGGGGCTACAAATAAGGGGTAGATTTACTTAATGGGTGAACAGCTCTCGGGGTTGAGATTTTGATAAATTAAATTGATTTGGTGCATTCTGGCACATAATTTTGATCAAAATGTCCCGAAATCATAAACATTACTTTTAGTTCCAACATGCAGGAAATGTATATAAATGATATTTTTGAAATTTCTTAGAAATGGGTTGCAATTGTGGGTACAAAATAATTTTCTTTGGGCGCAAATCATGCCCCCCTTGTACCTTCACTGGATCCGCCATTGAGCTATACATACCGTATATCCATAATAACGCCTACCTGGAAAGTGATATTAATTCTTATTAACCTTTATATTAATTCATTGTTTGAAATGAAAAAAAAATGAATATATCAACTTCTTTGTTGTAATGCACTTTAAATTCAAATGAATGAATTCTACTAACAGTCTGGAATTTTTTTTGAAAAAGTCGTTTCCGGCACCCATTCTAAATCAGTCTAAATTCTAATTTAAGAATAATTTGATGAATTGTTCAAAAATGAAATATTTTCAATTTAGATAAACGACTTAAAGATGGGTTGCCTTATTTTTATTTATGAAAATGGAAATGCTAATTCTTATATTTATAGAAAATTGAGTTGTTCAAATGACTTGGAAAAATACCAGTTTGTCTCACATGTCAATAATTAATTCATAATTAGCTTAATTAGAAGAGAATTACCAACAGAATTCCATGAATGACTGATAAAGAAAGTTCATATTTATAAAATATTGAAGAAGTGGATAAATAGTTACACCGGAAGGAGACTTGAAACTTGTTTCCCGACTTTTCCCAGAAAAAAGGTTAATGAAAAATTTTATGGAATTCGACAGTTGCCATAATTTATCCCGTTTCTCGTCTTACTTTTATGCAGAAAAATTCTAATGAAGCTATTTTTCGAGATTTATTTATTATTTTTTGCAAAACCGTAAATCCTTTTATTTGAGCTGAATTTTATAAAAAAAATATATTTTAACACGTGTACTTCAAAATAAGGACAATTTCTTCTCAAGTTTTGCAAAAAATAAGATATTAAAATTGAGAGTAAGAGATTTGCAACACGTGAAATACGCATTTCCAATGTCAGAAACTATCTAAGAAATAATGCCAATTACAAAATCGATCAAGAAAAAAAAACGGTAAATTCCTGGTGATTATTAAAGAAACTTCGAGGTAGAAAATCTTCTACGTTCGCAAGTTGAGATTCCGTCCTTGTTGAGAAATGGAATTGTTCCTGCAAAATATGATCATGAGTAGACCACATGGTGCCAAAAAGGGGCGGGACAAAGTGACAGGCTTTCTTACATCTCAGCTGTCTCTACCGAGTTCAGAAATAAATCAGTTAATTTATCCATAACTTAGTTCAAGGAACGTTGCATTGCGAATCAAGGGGGGGTCAGGAAAATAGCCGTTCAATTTATTAACGTGAAAATCCCATATTTCCAAATTTAGCGCTAAGATTCAAGGTCGTTTGAAGGACGCGAGATATCTCGAGATAATGTGTAGTCTGCAATTGATCGATCAGGGAAGCTTTTTGCATTTATAGAATTCAGTGACCTGTATAAGTCAATAAGTTTAGTGTCTATCTACCCTAGTCTAGAATAATGGTATAGTCCACCCTGACTATAAAACAGACGTGGAAAGTAAATTAAGGTACTCTTGTCTCTATCAGGGTCTTAGTTCAGGTAAGGCTGAAACTTTTCTTTTCATCAGCTGTTATCATAGTATAATAGAGTACTAAAGCATGCTTTAAATTGGAATTTCTTTGCACATTTGCAGGAATTTTACTTTTGTAATTTTCAATTCTTTATGATATTTAAGGACGATTTTTTTTAAAAATATTTTAGATTTTTTGCAAAAGAAATATAAAATTTAAGTTTTTGGTAAAGTCATTTTTATTAAGCATTGGTTTTGAAAATGAAAATTCTTGGAATGACATTTCAAAATTTTGTGCAAAACATCAGAATCGTTTCCGACTCTGATACGTGGAACATTTTTAAATTCTGATAACTCTGCGACTCTCCGGAATAAAGGAATCGTTGAGGGATTTCAAAGAGAAATAGCTTTTGATAGTCTTGCTTATTATTGAAGGTTTTAATTAAAATTTGGTTAGCTTTAAGTTAAAATTTTCTTAGAACACGAAACATTGCTATGCGGGTAGATTTTGCAATAAAATCTTGCTAATCGTTGCAAGCAGATAGTATAACTTTTTTCCAGAACGACAACAAAACTGTCTCTTTAAGTACTGTGTATATATATACTGTATGTATAGGCTATTCATTATGATATTGTCAAGCTTAAAGGGTGTAGAAATCTGTGACGTAAAACTCCAATCTATTCTCAAATAATAAGTCATTCATTGAAACAGACCAGCTTAATGTACACAATTACAATCTTCATGATTCAACACATATCGGATGTCCTGCTTCCCTCGCATCGGCCCGAAATGTTGACGCATGTCCTGTTTTGCATCATATATTCACACATTTTCGACCATCTTCCAACATCCCGGTTCTTTTTTCAGCTTTTAAAGTTTTCCAGTATAAAGCTGTACTCAACACAAAATAAAATTCAAAATGTCTGAAATCCAAGTTATCTTACAATCTAATGGCGCCTTCAAGTCCGATTTGATGGAAGAGTTCCTTTGTAACAAAATGAACGAGTCGACAATGATGTCGAGCGTTGATAGTCAAGGGAATCTCATGGCATCACCCTCGACCTTTGCACCAGCAACAGGATCCCACATTGCTGACAATCAACGAATGATCGACAACCAGACGCGTCAGCTCGTCGACAACGGCCAATACGACAATCAGTCCAACGTCACTACGACTACAACGTCCGACAACAAAAACAGAAACGGTAACGGCAATCAACAGGCTGCCTGCGTCCAAGATCCTAATGCTAATACAGATGCGGATCCAGAACTTCTAGAAGTCCAGAAACCAGTTTCTGCAGTCAGAGCTAAACTGATCACTGAAGCTTCCGAAGCTATAGTTGCAGCACATATGGGTACCACCATCAACACGTATGAGAATATCGCAGAGGCCGAGAAGAAGATTGATGAAAACATGGCCTCTGGAAATATGGTAAGAAACTTTACTTTGTTTTAAATTGGGTGGAAGGGGCTTTAGAGTTCCCGAAGGCATTTGTCGTGGCATTGATGATTTTAATGCCTTTGCACCTTGTGGAAACTCCCGCATCAATAATGTTAACTTGCAAAACAATAGGCTGTCTGTGCTAAAGCTTGTTGTAAACGTTTACAAGCTTGCAACTCATTTAACGTTTTAAACTACCAAATGTGCATGTTTTTGCATGTTGGCAGCACTCAAAGACACATACAACATTCTTATATGGTATCTTCTCTTTGTAGCCTGATATGTCGAAAATGGCACAAAATTCAGGAGCAGTTTGGCAGAAATTTGTTGCTCAAATGGTTCCTGAAATTACCAAAGCTGTCAAATTCATTAACAGACTTCCAGGTAGGTGCTGCCTTCAATCTTTAAGCTCATATTACAAAAGCGCAATAGGTATCATCGATGGGTTACCCAATGGGATCACCTTTACGCTTGAAATTACATATAATGCAATGGGTACCATTAGTGGATAACCATTTGACTTTGCGTACTTCAATGGGTATCACCTTTTATAACTAAGTTCAAAATATTAAGGACAAAGTAAATATCGATCTCAGAAAGTGCAATATTGGTATCAATGCGGGCAATAACTATATCATCTTGGGCAATATCGGTATCAATGCGGGCAATATCAATATCAACAAGGGCAATAACGCTAACAATGCTAGCAATTTAACTGTATTATCTGTGGCGATATCTGTATCAGAATGGACAATAACTATATCAATGCAAGAATTATAGTATCAATGTGGGCTATATCGGTATCAATGAGAGCAATATCGGTATCCAATGACAATATCATGAACGTATTCAATATTTGAAACTCGATCAAACGTGCAATCATAAAACGAACACTTCCTTATTTAAGAATGTGAGAAATGTCAAAGTAACCAATGTCCTTTATTACTTCTACTTCAGTGAATAAGTATTCAAACATTAGCGTCACATTGCATAGACTTAACCTAATTTCGTGATGTTATGCACCCTAGACAAATGTAATATGAATAATTCACCTTTGGTATTGAATGGTGTATTTACACATTGCATAGACTTAACCTAATTTCGTTACGGTATGCACCCTAGACAAATGTAATATTGTATAATTCACCTTAGTTATTGAAGAGTGTATTCGAATTCATTGTCAAACTAGGTTAGTGTAACTAAGACACCCTTTCATAACTCATTGAATTCGAATAATAGTCCTTTATAATTTTTTAACCTTGAGTTTTGTTAGGCTTTCGTCGAACTCAGCTATGCCCTTGAAGAACTTTCTACGTAAGTAAACAAAAGGGGCCAAAGTTGAATGTTTTGCAATCGTGTGTCCTATTTCTGAACAGAAGGCCTTTTGTTGATAACCTTTTGTGAAAATTTTTTAATTCTTTCTCTCAATTGAGAACAATTTTAAAGTTGTCCACCCTTATTAAATTTGAAAATGTCAGCATTTCAAACGTTGCCAAGGTCACTCACGTTCTTTGTTGAATAAAAAACAAAGACGGTTTTCAAGGTCATCTGAAATTCGAACCTTAAACAATCTCGGAGAATGGTCTGTACGAATTTACGGAAAACAGATTGGCAAATTGGCAGCTTTCTGTGGTTAAAATAAGATAGCTCAAAACCCAAGAGTACTACAGGTGATGAGTTCGAATTTAACTAGCACCGAAAACACTGGCCGATACATCAAAATTATTTTTTTCAAGCAAATTCGAACTCTTGTGCACTAAGAAGTATGATTCTTTCAAGGTCAAATTGACTGAAATGTCTTCAAGAGCTTTAAAAAGAAATGTCGAGAATTTTCGAGGTCATGAAACTCTTTTGAAAATAATTGTAATTTACAAGAATGTTGGAATTTTATTTTTGCCCTAATGTCAAGCCATTAGAGAGTGTCGGGTTTCGAGGACTCAAATGAAAACTAGTTTTTGTACATTCAGATAATTATGTATTAAGGTTTCAGAAAATAACAACTATTTCTAATGTCTAGACGAAACGAAACTGGGTGAATTTTCTAAAGTAATTATTTTGACAAATTTAAACTGGTTTTTGTCAAGATGTACTTATAAAAGTTTTGGACAGTCCTTGCGTTTTATAACTTATTAAACATCTACTTTACTTATAAAACATTTACTTTACTTATAAGATGTTATTTCTTTATAAAGCCGTCTGCTTATAACATTTAGGACATTCATTGCTGTATATAAGCGATATTAACTTAGATTTATAACATATTATTTCTTTATAATGATTATATATCTATGTTCTTATATAAATATACGTCTTTTCTTAATAATAACATTTTATAGAGAGGATTTTATACGAGGTCTTATGTCATGAAATGAGTTGCTCGATTTAATATTTCCCGAGTCTAGTCAAGATATTTCATTAGACTTAAAAAATAAAGGGCAATACGACATGAAATTCATTGAAATATATATCAATACCATAAGATATTTCTTTGTACTAATAAAAACTCGGGCGATTCTTTACATTCATATAAAATAGAATAGGCCTACTTATAAGTTATAATACATGTCATTTTTAATATCTCAATATGTACTTATATAAATAAATGACCCCGCGAGGATGCACAGCTAAAAATAGGGCTTTGAAATTCATCAATTAATAGGCCTACGATTGAATTTTTGAAAATATATTAGATTAGACTATTTCTTTGTACTAATAAAAACTAGGGCGATGCTTTACATTCATATAATGTATAATATACTATACTTATAAAACAAATGACCCCGCGAGGTATGCACTGCTAAAAATAGGGCTTTGAAATCCATGAATGCACTTATGAAATTGAGCATTTGAAAAGATATTAGATAAGAGAACATAATAGGGTTGAATAAGCGAATGATATCGCAGAAATTGTATAGCTTTGGGCCCTTGATATAGTGTACTTGCCTTAGCAACGACTGTTTCAAAAGCTATTTTTGGTCCCTGTTTTTAAAGGCCCGTTTAATGTTTACATTACCTATATGGGTAAGCTATAATAAGAGTATTGTCTTTGAACGAACAAAACAAATCTATTTTTTGACTCTGAATTCAAAGGCCTTTTCAATGTTAAATTTTCCTATAAGAGTAAGATAAGGGAACTGCCCGGGGACGAACAAAACGGAAACTGTTTAAATGGTAGCAAAATATAAGGGAATTGTCATTCAAAAAAGTGCCAATGGAGTTTTACGCCTTACTTTTCAGTCCCTTATTAATACGATAAAGACCATGCACATTATTCTGCAGTATACAATTAGGGAAAGCTTGGTTAGTTACTCATGTTTTCTTCTTATTAATCTGATAAAATCTACAAGCACTATGCAGTGTGCAATGAGGGAAATTTTGAGACTAGATGAACATTATAACTGTACAATTATGACCATCACGCAAATGTTAAAAAATTTCGTCTTCTATATTTTCAGGGTTCCAAGCCATCCCTAAAGAAGATCAAATGAATTTGATTAAACAAGGATCGTTTGAAGTTCTGTTAACTAGATTCTGTATGCTGATCAATGTGGAAACGGGTGACATGATAGATCCCTCACTTAAAGTCAAATTTCCAAGGTAACTTGATTTTTTGATGCCCAAAATAGACCCTTTTGATGTACCCTATTGAGGGTAACAAGCATCTTCATTATGTCAAGGTATTACGAACTACATGTTCCTTGATCTTGTGAAGATGATGATCATTACAGCTCGGAAAAAATGGTGGGCCCAAGGCCAAAAGGACAAGTTGAGAAGGTGGCTGGTCAGGGGGTGGGGTGACGTCGAAATCTTCGAAGTGCAGAAAGCAGGCATGATGAATATATTGATGTTGAGGGGTACCCGAGAATTGCAGGAGTTTTGAAGAAGATATTTGAACTTTGGTTTTATTATTTCAGAAAAGCATTATCCTCGATGCCAATGGGACAATTATTGTTAGAGTTTTACAAGGTTGCTGAAAAATTCAACCCCTTAAATCTGACTGACGGTGAAAATGGTCTCTTCTCCTCTATTCTAGTCATGTGTCCAGGTATGTTGAATTTTAATTTTGAAGGGTGAGTGGGGACAACAGTGGCGTTTGTATGAAAAATCAGGTGAGGGGGGCCCTAGCAAGGGCCAAATTGCCGGAGGGGGCATTCTTTCATTTTGGTGAGGGAAATGCTCTCTCCAACATCGACTTGTTGTAATGGTGTTTTTTTTTTTGTTGTTTTGTTTTCCCCCCCCTATGCAATCTTATTTTTAAAAAGTTGTGTTTCTTTTTTTCCAGAACGTGAAGGTCTTCAGAAGAAATCAGATGTAGAAAAAATTCAAAATTTATTCAAACAAACTTTATATTTAAAATTAAAAGAAAATCATTCTGGTGAGTGCTTTGAATTATTCAAAACATCGCGCATTGTAATAGGAATTATACGTTATGTGTGCACTGGCTGTAAGCATGCTGGCAAAACAAGGAAAGTTTAGTGTGCCTAATGGAATGTGTAACACGAAAAAACTGAAATTATCTCATTGTCGAATGAACAATGATGGTAGGCATTTGATTAAAATTTAAGCAACTTTGACCAAGTTTATGCCGTGTTAGGCAACCCTTGTCCCGATGTATGATTTAGTATAATCCATATCTTAAGTATTTTTGTCAATTTTCTTTTCAGATGCTGATTCTATCTTCACTAAATTAATGTCCACAATCCCGGTGTTCGCCGAAATCAATGCCAAGCACACAGCCGCTTTAGCCAAAATGAAACAAGCTGCCCCATCCGAGTTCGACCAAACATTCCAGCCCTTACACAAGGAAATGTTCAACAATAACTGAACTGGTGCAGGAATCTCATTGGGTTCGAATCTCTTGAATATCAGCCAATGAAAAGACATTATAGTGTTGATATAGTTCAGGGTCAAGAATTCAAATTCAAATCTGGAATTTGATTGGTCGAAAGAAATTGATTGATTTCATTGGTCGATTGCAATCAATTCATTCATTGGATGGGTTGAAATTCCTTAAACCTGGAGGCCAATGATTGGCTGGAAGAGAAAAAGCTGAACCAATCAAAATACGACTTCAAAAGATTTGAATTTAAATTTTAGAATCCTTAAGTTATTTATTAAAAAATTTGGACCATAACACAACATAAGTGCAATCTTAATTTCATTATCATTTTTAGGCGTTATCACTCATTTAAACTTATCATCTTTTACAAATAGTCTCAAAAATATGAAAAAATATGAAAAAATATGAAAAAAAAAAACCACTCAAAAGTACTTGAATAAGTCAAAACGAATTTGTTAAACTTTTTGTAGTTTCATACATAATTGTTAGATGTCAAAATTGGTGTTCGAATTTTTTTATACTCAAATATATAACGTGTTTGGTTTGAATTTGAATTTAAATGGATGTGCTCCTTTAATTATGTATTTCGAAAATGTCCATTGCAAACAGCAATGGTATTGAAATAATGTAATTAAAGGTCCTCTTCCGTTTTTATTATTAAAGTTTAAATATTGTGAATTTGAAACTGTAAAATTTGTGATATTGTGAAGACATATATACAATTGTTGTTATTTTGAGAATTTTGTTCTTTGAATATTGGCCAGCTCGAACAAATTAACACAACCACGACCTTAAAATGGCGAAATTATGTTTTTTTTTTTAAAAAAATCATTAATTTTGTTGGATATATATCATGTGATCATTGTATATAGAAATAAGTTATAAAGTTAAAGCCCACTTGTTCATTATAACCTCATCTTTATTATGGTCTTGTTGTCAGAAACATCATAACTTAACACCATTTCAAATAATTTTTGACACATTTCATTGGCTCAAATATTATTTGAAAAAAAAGTCATATAATGTGATTGGCTGGAATATTATTTGAAAAAATTCACGTAATCTGATTCGCTGATCTATTGCTAGTCGATATTTGAAAATGTTTCATGTAACCTTATTGACTGAAATTTAATTTGAAAAAAAATCTGAGGCGATATTTCTCCAAATGGGCACTTATCTGATGACGATATATGAGAAAATTCGATTGGATGAATACTTTTGTATTGACCAATCAGATGCCTTAAAATTACCCAGTTACAATAATTTAATTTATGGTGTTTCTGACGTACAAGTTTAGAAATTTGAAACCGGTTACTTTACACTATTCTCTAGTATTTAGGGTCCAATTCGTCAAGCAATCGCACAAAATATACCTTTCTTTTTTCAGCTTCAGGAAAAAATTGTTAATAATTGTACATTTTTTGACTAACTTATCCAAATTTAAATTCCTTCCCCATGTTCATTTTAGAATCTCAATTGTTTAGAAAAAAAATAATGTAAAGCTTAGGTTTATAAAATATTGGTTCAAATTTACAACATAATTTGGTTTTTATATACCGTGGCGTGATGTTTTTGACTGTTATTAGTTTGGCAAATATTGTAACGTGATGTTGCATGTGACGCCGTGATTGTGACAACGTGACGCCGTGATTGTGACAATGTGACGCCGTGATTGTGACAATGTGACGTCGTGATTGTGACAATGTGACGTCGTGATTGTGACAATGTGACGTCGTGATTGTGACAACGTGACGACGTGACGGATAGTGTGACGATATTGTCAGTAGTTTTTATCTGGTTTATTATTGTCTATTTTTATATAATCTGTTACAAATAAATGTTTAGAAAATTTCTTTTCTTTGTTGTACATATACACATGATGGCGAGCAAAACTGTGACATAATCCCTTTTGAAGATTAGACTACTCTTTACGTTTTACACTGCGAGAGTATTCTTTACACCCAGAATGGTTTATTGGAAAATTCTTAAATGATAGTGAACCCAATAACCAGTTGGAAGTCTCAAGAGAACAGCTGAAACCACTGTCTTTGCTAAATACTCAATCCAATAAAATCTAATTGTGCGATTTGTATGGTACAATACAAACAACACTTCCACTATTTCATAAACAGAATTTGCTGTTTCAGTAACAAATTTACTGTTTCAATAACAGAATTTGCTGTTTCAGTAACAAATTTGCTGTTTCAGTAACAAATTTGCTGTTTCAGTAACAAATTTACTGTTCCAATAACAGAATTTACTGTTCCAATAACAGAATTTTACTGCTCCAATAACAGAATTTACTGTTCCAATAACAGAATTTTACTGTTCCAATAACAGAATTTTACTGTTCCAATAACAGAATTTTACTTATCCAATAACAGAAGTTACTGTTCCAATAACAGAATTTACTGTTTTAATAACAGAATTTACTGTTTCAATAACAGAATTTACTGTTTCAATAACAGAATTTACTGATCCAATTACAGAATTTACTGTTTCAATAACAGAATTTACTGTTTCAATAACAGAACATACTGATCCAATTACAGAATTTAATGTTTTAATAACAGAATTTACTGTTTTAATAACAGAACATACTGTTCCAATAACAGAATTTTCTGTGTGAATAACATTTCAAACTTGTCTGGCACAATCGAAACTACAGATTCACAGTTTCAAAAACAGAACTTGATGTTTCAATAACAGAAACATTTCATGATTTGTCTGGTACACTGTCATGGGCCAGCAGAGGAATAGCATATAATTTGATTGCAGGCCATAGTCTTCTTTGTACAATGCGTGGCAATGCTCTTATTTCAAGATCCAATTATGCAAATTTTTAGCAAATAAATTACGTGATACTCCGCATAAAAAGCAACCTAGCACAAATCTACTTCATTGGCGTCGGAATTGTCGTTTGCAGAAAATGACAGAAAAAACAAAGAGCCAGACAGACGGGCACCTGTTACAGCTGACCTTGAAATATGATGAGCTCTTCAGGAATATTTGGCACTCAGCAGAAATTTACCAGAAAAAGTAAGATTCTGAAGAGCCTAACAGCTGTTATTTGGCCTCCGATTAACCACCAAGTTTTCAGCAAGCGGGAGAGAAAGATAAATTATATTAAAAGATAAGTTAGAACAATAAACATCTGTCTTTATGGCAGATTTCATATCAATTCTGTAGACACGTCCAAGGTCGTTTCACTGAGAGCTGCAGGGGTTCGAAAGAGATATTTCAATCTGACCACAGACAATTACCATTGCCTCAATCACAGTTCTCTGTTGCAATGAGCATCCATTTTAAATGTTTGGAGAGTGGCTTGTAGGGCAACTAAATGAAATGAAATGAATGGAGTTTTACGTCCTACTTTTCTGCACCATTTGTAGGGCAACTAAGCCATTGTACCAAACACAGTGCAATGAGCTTCCACATTAGAAGTTTGGAGCGTTGCTTTGCGATCTACTTAGCTCCAGGGGGTTCGAAAGAGATTTTTTTCAGTCTGACCACAAACAAACTGCCGGTTACTCTTTGTAAAACTTTTGGCAGAATTTGGATACCCCGTTCGATATCTATGTTGTTTTTTATTAGCATAGCTAAATGAGAAAATAGCAAACTGTTACTAGCGGAACATCAAATTTCAATTGTAATTAAAGGGAGATAACTCTTTCTAAACCTCGCATTTCATTGAAAGATTGTAGAGCTGCTTACTGATGCTTGAAAAACCATTCCATTTAGAATTTTGTCAATTCACAAAACAATATACGGAAGACTACGGTGCAGATTTTCTTACCAAAGAAAACCTGGCTAATTTTACAAGATCGGATAAACATTTCCACAGTTACTCTACATTTTTACTGTAGACCTCAATCTTTTTCGGAACAGCATTCCCATAGTAACAGATTCCGAAAACTAAGTAATTCTTTTTATAAAAGCTAATTTTACAGGATCGGATTAAATTTTCACAGTAGCCTACCTGCACAATTTTGTGGGCCGATATCATGCCAAATTGCATGCAACACAGACTTAACTTAATGTGTCTTTGAACTGAAGGAATACGTTAATCCCGACTTCTGAAAATATATATCATTTACCTGCAAAAACCTTTCAAGCCTTTATTTCAAAATTTCCAATTGCCGCCATTTGCTTTTTAGATTACGTGGTAGGTGCGATGTGCTGGACTTGCCGGTTCTAGTAACACTACGAAATCATCGTGTCAAACATGCCAGCAGATCAGAGTTCACTTTTATAGTGTTTATGTTTTTGAGCGGATCGTGGCATATCGAATCGAGATCTCAAGGGCAAACTGCATAAAAATTGTTTAATAAAGGCCGTTAACTAAATACAGAGCTGATTTTCATACTGGAAATAACAAAGGAGGAGGATATTTTAAGGAGGTCGATTAATTACACACACCCACAAATTTTTTTAACGTTTTGCACGTGCATATCATGTTTATATATGTGAGAAGTGGTGCGTACGAAACAGTGTTTCAGACATGCTGGATAAGTTAGTTGTGGTCTGGATTTTAGTATTATACAAGAGTTATTTCTCTTTACTTATCTAGACTATATTGTTACCAAATCGGGCTTTGCAAATACACAATATAGACAACATTCGTGTTGACGTATCACTTTAATACGTATACTTCCTGGGGTACGCTCTGAGGGCAGGGCATCTGTCAGAACTTTATCAGCAGTAAAATTTAGCCTCTATCATCCAGTTTAACTTTGTCTACGGTGAAGTTTGGATGTCAGAGACTGAAGTAAATACAATTTTTTAGACGGCTATATCCCTTTAAGTAGAAAGACATTAACTTTTTTTAAGAAATACAAATGACATAATAATACTATCCTGGCTTGATATTATCTTTCACTGACGTCACAACATGGCCGAGTCAACTCAGATTATCGGATTATAATAATTATTATTCAATTCTATTGTTTGTCAAAAAATCTGGAATTTTGAGACGGTAGTTAGTCCGAATGTTCTCAAAGTACCAATGAGGATGAACCGAGCCAGTGGCGTTTTTACACACAGAAATGGGCTGACCAGGACCCCCTCCCCCCCCCCCCCCCTCACACACACTCCCTATTAGACAATTCTGTGTCTCCTACTCAGCTGTGATGATGGAAATTTGATCATTGCACACTGCATGACGTTTAAGTACCTCACTAACCCTATCATTTCACTCGAAACTGATGTAAATACAATTTCAAATCCCGAAGTTTCGGACTACGTGTAATAACCTTACAATATGTAGATTAATGCTAATGAGCCAAGGTATTATAATAAGGAGCTTTGAATGTGTATAGAAACTAAGATATTCGACTGTATGTATGACATTATAATAGACTTTGACGGCTTGCAAACCGGCACGTACGCCATACTTATTCCCTATACACTGCAGGTATTTTGCATTTATTTTCGTTAATTTATAGTAGGGTAATAAATCACCTATGTCCCAAATCCTATGTTTATTTTTATCTATAATACTGAGTAAAAAAGGCTCGATGTTTTGTTAACTTGCCAAATTATTGTCTCTGTTAGCGTTATTTTTAGAAGGCATAATTTCATCAGCATAATAATATGTATAGCGTATTCTATATTTTTGAGCAAAGTGAATACTATATTTTAGACGATCTTGCCCCTTTAAGTTTAATAATTATCGAGACCTGTGATATGAGATTTGTATATTGGAATAGTTAATGGAATTGTCTGATAAAACTCGAGTTTTATTGAATATGTTATTGCGGCATGAAAATCGTTAACAATAGCTGATGAAGACTGAATTGGAAATTGTTATTTTCATTAGAAGATGAAATGAAACGAAAGAGGATTTTATATCCAACGTTACTGCTTCTAATTGAGCTAATGAAGTCGGGCAAAGGCATTCAGTGTACAATGAGGAAAATTAATCCAGGACAAGAACACTGATCTACCCTTTTGCATGTTTGAACCATTCATGGCGATGTATTACGTCAGTGGTAAATGCATACCTCTGTATGGCAGCTGTTGGAAACGACAATTTCATTCAGCTCTTTGGTTGTTTACGAACCACACGTGTGATTCTCGCCCCGAAGATTGATACAGGTCATTGTTCTGGATTGACATGGTTATGAGTGTTCCAATCTGCACGTCTGGTGTGAGAATTCGCGCCAAAATCTCTTTAGGCCTGTTACCAGCCCCGTCGCCAGGAATGAATTGGTATTGGGGCTCAACGTATCAAAATCTATATCTTTTTGATTTTGTACAAAGACACTGTAAATGAATCAATCTCTCTGCTGAACCGAACAAGGTTTTGCTGGGGCTTAATTTTTACTTGCTGGGGCTCAACCCCTACGGACCCCACGGACCCCGGGCTGCCTGTTACTCAAACAATTTTTACTCCTTACTTTTTACGATCAATGCTTTACGACAAGGCCATGTGTGTTCCATTCTGCACGTATTCTGTGCGTCTGGAGTGAGAAATCGCGCCAAAACTGTCCCAGATTCTCCTGAATCCTTGATACCTCCAAAACAATTTATACTCTACGACCGACGCATTCAGGGGTCGGCTTTTAACCGCTAGGCCATTGTTCGCAGCTGACAAGGCCAATTGTGTTCCATTCTGCACGTAGTCTTATCGTCTGGTGTGAGAATTCGCGCCAAGGTCTGGCCACGATTCAATTTATTTATATCGATTCCGCGCTACCAGTTCTAACCGGTCTGTAATGAATGAAATTGGGGAATCGGCACGCGAGTACAGATTGACATTGCCAAGTGTCTCTCTCTCGCCGTTTTATAGTTCTCTCGCTGTGTGGTATATCGTCCATAAGACACTATATTATACCAACCATTATTTACTAAGCGCTATATAAAAATCCGACATTTTTATTTTGTCATTAATATTGCGTGACGTGGGTCGTGTAAGACAGTTATATCTGGAGTATAAAGTATAATCTTATTTAGCCTGTAGCTATAGAGCTCAACGTTTGAACCAAGGTTGAAGGATTAGTAAAAAAAACTAGGCCTAGCAGTATTTAAACCGCTTGACAGCTGTTTCGGCCTCATATGAGATTCGGCGCTTGGAAGTGAACGACAGAACATCTCGGTGTTAAAATTTCTTTTATCTTGACAAAACATAGCTTGGAAGATTGTTTACAGTGTTAGATCTTTGAGAATTATTTTGGAAGATCATTTACGTTGTTGATTGCAGGACAGAATTTGGAAGATCGTTGTCAGTGTATGCTGCCAACAAGACAAGGCCTGGAAGATTGTTGACAGTTTTAAATTTTAGAAGATTACTGCAAAACAGGAATGAAAGAACAAATGTAAACTAGAAGATCGTTGACATTGTTTACTCCAAGCCAGAACTTACAAGTTCCTTAGCCCTTGTTTACTAAACCGATCTTTGGAAGAGTGCTAAAATACACCAGTTTGACCCCAGAATTGACATTGACTTTCCAAATGGAACTTATTTCCCGTCTTTTAATATGAACAATATGTGCGGGTTCCGAGTTGCTAATTTATTCATTAAATCTATCAGCCAAGAGTGGAGTTTTGAAGATTTTTATTGCAGGTAAACCTGCTGCGATAAGCATCTTTTGAAAAGAAGACTGAACTGTGCACTTATAGGTAAGCATTTGCCAAATTTACGTTTTATATTTTTTTATTTAAATATTTGGGTTTTTTTTAATCATTTTATCATTAAAATTCATTTATTTATTTATTTATTTATTTATTTATCATTTATTTATTTATTTATTTATTTATTTATTTATCTATTTATCTATTTATTTATTTATTTATTTATTTATTTATTTATTTATTTATTTATTTATTTTATTTTATTTTATTTTATTTACTAAATCAATATAATCTATTTTATTTTTATTTTTTTTACAAAAAATATTATTTTAAATATTTATAAAATTATTATCATGCTTGATCACATTTTGGTTCGAGGCTCATGATAAACAGCCCCGGGGGTCATTGTCTTATTACAATATTCTTTTTAACCAATTATTGCCATTCACAGTCACAAACGCTGCAATGGACTTTGGAACATAGATTACAAAAACTGTTATTGACGGTCGTGATATTCACCTTGTTTGAAATTAATGTATAGGTAAAAACAATAAGGAAGTTAGTCAAATTTAAAGTCAAGTTGTTTCTTAGTAATAAATAGGACAAACTGGGTCGAAATAACCTACTCAAATCCGTCTTTTCTTATAGGTTATCAATACGTTTTGACCCAAATATTTTGACATTGGCTACATTCTAAGGTGGTTCACTTTTCCACATTACGTAGTAAAACACTGCCAAATTTATTCTACCAACGATTTTGCACGTATAAAATGAAATGAAATTGTACACTTGACGAATTTTCAGTATTGCAAATTTAGTAAGGTATATATTCACCTGATACCACTTCATGAATGAGTTTTTCACCTCGGCATCTTTTTTCAGAGCGATCACATAGCTAACATTGTTTATAGGTAACTTGGTTAGTCAACTCAGTGTTCATTTCAGAGAGTTCACAAACCAAATAATACTCATTTAGCACATATAGCAAGCAGAACGATAAAGATCTATCAAAATTTTCAAATTCCTTGGTTATTACAAAGAATGTGTAAGTTTTAGATTATCTTAGGAACGGTAATAGAATTATTATTCTAAAGGTATCGCTAACTAAGACGAGTTGGCAGATTATCAAAATATCTTTCTTTTTTACCAATTAACCAAAATAACCATTGTATCTAGAGCAAAGTTGATTAATCTCAAGAATAACTGTGGAACTGGCATTAATTTTGACCCCATTTATTGGCACTATCCTACTATTATGTCGCTGATATAAGCTACCAAACTTTCATAACACTGCCGAAACACCTTTCCAATTCCTAAAACATTTGCCTCTCAAATTATATTGCTTTTGGGATTAATAAATTCAGTTTTTGGACTTTGACCTCGGTTTCTATTGGACTCTCATCTACTTTTATTGGACTCCCTCCTAGTTTTTTTTAACACCTAGTCTTTATTGGGCTCCTGCCTAGTTTTTATTGGACTCCCAAGAAGACTTTAACTGGCCTCCTGCCTAGTTTTTATTGGACCCCCAAACTCGTCTTTTATTGGACTCCCGCCTAGCCTTTTATTGGACTCCCAAGAAGACTTTAACTGGCCTCCTGCCTAGTTTTATTGGACCCCCAAACTCGTCTTTTATTGGACTCCCGCCTAGCCTTTTATTGGACTCCCAAGAAGACTTTAACTGGCCTCCTGCCTAGTATTTTATTGGACCCCCGCCTAGTCTTTTATTGGACTCCCAAGTATACTTTAATTGGCCTCTTGCCTTATTTTTATTGGACCCCAACCTCGTCTTTTATTGGACCCCCGCCTAGCCCTTGGTGGACTCCCATCTAGACTTATATTGGATTCACATCTCAACAATTATTGGACTCAAACCTAGACTTTTAATGGACTCTCGTCTCTCCTCTAGCCTTTATTGAACTCACACCTTTTAATGGACTCGCACCTATACTTCTATTGGACTCACACCTCGACCTAAATGTACCTAATGTTTTATAGCTCATCTTTTTATGAATCTCATCCATCCTCAATTTCCTTTGACATTTATAGTGACTGATATGAGATATTGCATTTTTTCTCTTTGACTTTTTGAAGACTGGTAATATGTCAAAAACTAAAAATAGAATTTGAAAGTCAAAATGCGGGATAGAAGTCACGAGATGGGTTATCGATCAAAACAAATTTATCAAAACACGTCCGGCCTGTACTCTTGAAATACTTTGCACTTTGGTTGGGGGTTCACGTAGTACCTGGATGACTCTTTATGTATATTTATATCTATAACAGCAAATAGTTGATAACCGATAACTGTCAAAATAGATATCAAAAGCTACTTATGAATACGCACGTCTAGGATGAAAAGTACCCAGTGACTCTGACAAGGATGTAGTTATTACCTTATATGGTAGTGACCGATTTACAGGGATTGTGAAGGGGTTTTCTAAATGTGTATTGGGGACACTGATAGCATTTTCAATCAGACGTCTGTGGTTCCTGCAAATGGGAATGGTGCAAATTGATGCTATCGGTGGCGCCGATACACATAAAAAATGAAGAAAACCTCTTTACAATCACTTTAAGGCCGATGCAAGCTCACCGATATGGAGTTCAGCATCATGCAACGCAGATAATAATGTAGGACTACCTGTACGTCATTGACGTTGTAAGTTGTTTGTCGCAATACTCTCATATGATCCTGAGATAGCATATCTCAATGAGATAAAGACAAAACAAAACGTGTGAACATCTTAATGTGCGATTAGTCTCAATAAGAAGTCTTAATGAATGAACGTTGTGGGAAACGTCAGAGATATTTTTGACCATTTTTGAAAAAGTATGAAATTTGTGATGAAAATATTATGAAATTTAGCACTTTTGATTCGACACCTTCTCTGGATATTATGAAAATTAACGCTCTATATGCCGGATTCCAAAATCCCTTAAAAGAGTTAAAATGTATTCTAGACATCAATGGATTTAATACTATGGAAACGAGCTCACCTTCTGATACAAATTCCATCGTCAGGACAGGTAGATTGCAAACGGAGGTTCAATTTCTGAAAAACAATATTCAAAAAATTTTTAATTTTGTTTTTTCAGAAGACTAAAACGTCAGAAAAAAATGTCTGCAGGAATGTGCTTTGATGCTCGAGCGATGCCTCAAAAAGAGAAGTGTTTCAAACCAAAATGGCGGAAGTGGATAGATCTGATAATCCGAACAGGAAGTAAGTTCGGGTTGAAGCAGGCCTGTTTGATTAAAAACTCTGGTGTTGTCGTGGCCTCAGTGGTTGGACTTGACATTGGAAAGGAAGAATTTCAGGTATGTCCAGTGCACTCTTTTAAATGGGTCTAGTCTTTGTATGGCAAAAGCAACTGTTCATCCTAAACATCTGCCTTTTTCATCCTCCGAAGGCTATTTCGCCAGTTGTCGGATGGAGTAAAATCAGGTGCGGAAAATCATCAAACAGAGCCCAGTTTTTCTGACCATACTTCGGCTGACAACTTTCACAATATAATAGCTATCACAGAATGGAATAGAGGTAGATGTTTCGGACTAGGGTTTGTGTTTGGGTAGGCCTAGGCTACTGGAAATCTCTTTACTGGTGATCGTGGCTTCTATTATCGATCGGAAAATAGGTACGAATAATCCGGTTCAGTGCCAAGTATTGAGTATTATGGTTTATTTAATGGTCAAAATTGCATACCTTGTCATTTCAGACGATCACCAACGCTTTTAACCAAAGTGAGGTAGAAGTCCTGCGCCTTGCAGGAACCACGTACTGTATCAAAAGCCAGAATGCCAAACAAATGGTCGCATTCAATGGGGGCAAATATCTCATCATTACCCGCTCTAAGACGATGATAATCGTCTGCATTTGTGTTGACAAAAACAAATTAGATATGGCGGGAACCTGGTTGCAGAAAGTCGGCGACTGCATTGATTCGTAGTCCGAAAATTTCTGACACGAATTGACTTGACTGTGTCAAAGACAAAAAACAATAGTTCGAATCCCGAATTTGATCCGATTCGTTAGAGAACAAATTTTCAAAAGGAAAGTGAAAATCGGGGAAACGTTTGTTATTGGTTAATCGCAAGCTCGAGCTGAAAACTTTCCAGCAATATTGATGTAGGATGGCTACTTTCAGAAAACTAGGCAGGAAAATTATTATGAACATACATGACATTTCCTTGGGGAGATAAAATGAAAAAAATTTGAACCTTTGTAATGGTCTTTCTTACTCTACGTGAACATTTATCAAATAAATCAAAAGCCTCGTAAAAGTTGTGCGTCTACACGCGAGTATGTTATGGTCAAATCGGACATGTGTCAGAACGGACACAAACAGTTGGGTAAAAACGGACCAAATATTTATCAAACATTGTGCGGATCCGTGAGTGGTTAGAGTCAAAACGGACCTGTGACCGAACAGACTTGACAACTTCGATCAAAAGGAACCCAACATTTACAAGAAGTTGTGCGTATGTGTGACTGATTTCGGTCAAAACGGACCCTGTACCAATAAATTGGTTAAAGCGGACATAACCTTTGGTCAAAATGGACTCAACGAAGTCGAAGACATGAACTGACAATGATCTGAATAGACTTTGGAGTCCTGATATAATAACTTCGTCCAAGGACGTTAAAAACATTCCGGGTGATTTGTGTGTTTTGTTATCTGGTTACATGTGCGATTAAATCGTTATCGGTCGTGTTTACGAGTTAAAACTTGGCTTGACTATCATGGTTACGGTTATCATTGTTTTTTACTAGAATATTTTTCATTAATCAGATTGTCAGAGTCCAGTGTGATACACATCTCGAAATTGTCCAGCAATTAAAAATGAAGGTTAATTTTCCTAAATACACGTATGACTTAAGGCGTGTATGAGAAAATAAAGTGGTCTCGCTGATCTAATCAAATCGAAATGAAATTTGGATTTTTGATTTGTTGATCATGCTCTCCCAAAGGTAACACGAATCTTCCACCTTTTCTATCCCTTGATTCAACACGTCGAGATAAGATCTGATTTATCATTCTCTTGTAACTCAATTGCTCAACAGCATAATTTTTAATTTTGGTTTGTTTTTTCTTCCAATTTCTATGATCTCTGTATATTCATGATATTTGAAGTGTAACTTTTGACAAATGTAATGTAAGGCATCCACTTATCCATGGTAATTAGGCTATATCATTGCTTAAGATTGCTAATTGCCTTCGCAGTATAAAATGGTTAAATTAAAATTTTAGCAGGTTCATTGTATTCCAGTTACTGCATTATCCCTGTATTTATAGTGTAGTTATATTGCTGTTATGCCTCTTATATAAAAAAAAAAGAGGCATTTGGCAGTAAAAATGCCTTGCTCAGACTTTGTAACAGCTTATAGGCAGAATCAATGGATGAAATTAGAATGCTCCAATGCCTTCTTAGCTCTCAGTTTTGCTGTTCAAATGATCTGCCTCGCAAGTTCCACAAGCCCTTAAGAGTAAGCATTCAGCAATTGTCGGTAGTTTCCGTAAGGCAGTGTGCTATCGGAATTTTCAGGATGGACCGTTTGCAGATCAAGCATTATAATTAAATAGAATACGGATTTACGACCTGTTTGAGCATGAGAGGACGGAAGCATCATAATAAAACCGAATGTTGCCGAATGACTTCAATTGTAGCTCTACATTCTGTTATCATATTTTCGTTCATTGTTTATTATTGTTATGCTTTTGTTATAAATAAAAGATCAATTTTATGAAAATAAAAGAAAATTTTAATAAGCGTCACAATATCTACTACACGTTACCCTATGGAAATGGCCAGGCGGTTATATTGTCTCTACAGTAAAAGTATCTATGTAGTCCGAAACTCATTGACCCTTTCTGGCCTTGGGTGTGAATTTTTGGTCGAAAACTTCTCAGTGATTACCCCCTAACTCTAAAATATCCTCGAGAGTACCCACGGAAGGATTGAGAACAATCAGGGTTGTGATTTCAGACTTTTTAAACAATTGGGCCAAGTAAGTACCCACTGACAGCTAAAGGAGTGCAGAGACCCTTAACTGCTGGGGGTTAAAAATATCTGAGTACCCACCAAAAACGAAAGGATAGTGAAGACCCCTAAACGTCTCTAATGCTCAAGGTTCATGAAAGACAAGTTTTTCAAGAGTTGATTATATCTTAATAGACCAATCTTTAATACCATAACAATATTATAAACAATTTCTTTCTCCCTTCAATTCCATTATAAATTTATAGACACATAACATTTACATAGGAGAAAAAAACATCCACTGTGCATAGTTTACAGTTTCTTTTTGTTTCTGTGGGTAACTCCTCCAAAATCTTAAGACATTCTTATGGAAATTATATTCAGGTCTGTAGATCGATTGACCAATCAAATGCTCTGTTATGGGAAATGCCACTCTTAACAGTATTTTTGATTGGCTACTTTGAATTTGGATAAACCAATGGAGGTAGTGATGTCGTTGGTTCAAAGTTGGAATGAACTCAATTTACAGAAAGATTTCTTCAGATCTTAGAATGACCAAAGTAACCCACAGATAATAATGAAACAAATATTTATATTTGCTAAACAAAGCATAGCAACTATTACTTCTAAACACCATAATTTTTAACTTTGAAGCTTTCATTTGCACATAGATCAAGATTGAAAAAGACATCCAATTAGATAAAAAAATTCTCAACAATGGTATCTAAGATTTGAAATATAACAAGTACAAAGTTTGTATTTCACACCCAAAACGGCACCACATGATGCCATCATTACCAGCAATTACCAATAATCACCAAAAGTAACTGGCTAATCACAGAGGATTATCTTCAAGCACATTATTTTTTGCTGATTTCAAAATGCTTCAAATCAAATTCAAATGTTTAGCTTTGAAAGATTTCAATTCAGTGACTCAACCAATCAAACTGAAGTCATGTGATTCAAAATGTCAGATGATGTTTCCCAGAGTGCAATGCACCCTAATCCACAATGAAATTCCACAAATATGTCACCCTGAGCTATTTAAATCACTGGTGATAACCAATCAATTTGAAGTATAATTCGTTTGATTCTACAGGACAATAATATATCCCAGAGTCCATTGTCTAATATTTAATCTAAAGTTGCCAAAGATAAAAACCGATAATAATGGCCCTGTATGATGCCGTCTTAAGCCATTAGGCAAGTTTATCAAAATTTCCTACAAGGAATCCTGATGCTATTCTCTTCCAGGAATAATCTAAGCTTGTTTAGCACCAGCCTCCTTATTATAGTCCAACATCATCTTCTTAATTTCACCAATAGCTCTTCCTGGGTTCAATCCCTGAAAATAGGCAATACAGACCACTGAAAAACTGATAAAGCCCATTGGAAATTCTCTAGTCTCTATCTACGTTATGCATTCAAGGCCAATAACTCCAAAAAAATCATCTGATTATTACCAAATTCGAACTTGACAGGGATTTAATCAATGTACACTTAGTTTGATTAAGATCAGATAAAAGCTGCTGTCTCTATCATTTGTACAAGGGTAACAACTGAGGTTCACAAGGTTCCTTTCTGCCAGCAGACTCTTGGCCAAACCTCTTTCATAATCAGGCCCTGTATTCTCGAAACGATCTTAGCGCTAGGACGTCGTAGGGTCCTAACTTCTAACAGTGTTTCTATGACGTCATAGCGCTAAGATCGTTTCGAGAATACGGGTTCAGGATTCTAAATTTGAAAAATGTCAGGAACTATGCGAACTTACCTTGGGGCAAGTCTTGGTACAATTCATGATAGTATGACATCTATAAACAGAGAACTTGTCTTCCATCTTGGATAATCTTTCATCAGTAAAATCATCTCTAGAGTCTATCATCCACCTACAATTACAATACATGCATCAAAGGGAGACAACCTCATTTTAGTGAGTGTATATTGTCCTTAAGTGATGGCTTGTTCAGTTAAGCCTCCTCTATTACTGTTTTGTGGTACCTTGTCGGACCCAGGAACATTGTACAATATCTAGTTACATTTTGATGGACTCATTAATGGTTCAGCTTAGTATAGATATCCCAATTTATACGTAATTTGGTGTTTGTCCTACAAGTGTTGCCAAGGAAGGGGTAGGGCCTAATAACAACTGTACAACAGAATCTCAAAATTTTACGTTTATTCAAAGAGATTGCAAGTGAAATCTATTATACCTGTACGCCTGCATAAGAACAGCAGGTCCTAAATATTTATCTGAGTTCCACCAATAGCTAGGACAGGCTGTACTACAACATGCACATAGAATACACTCATATAGACCATCCTGAATAATAAACACATGATTTAAATGAATGACTAAATGCAGGATTTTCATTCTTAAAAGTGTCACAGACAGCTGAAATTGAGCTTCACTATACAGGTAACAAATATTAAGACAACTTTATAACCTTTTCAACTAAGCATTATCATTGAAATAATAAAGGTGACGTTGTAATATCAGTAATATTTGTATGATATACTTAAAATTTCTTAAATTATGCGGTTATATTATTTGTAAACTAACCAGATGCAGAGTACAAGAAAAACAATTGTACAGCACTATAGAAATATCAAAATAGAACCTGAAACATTTTGTCTCTCAGATCAACAATATGTTTCAGGTTCTGTTAAATCTAAGAAATATTAAAGCAATACTGACCAACTTTGCTCTATCAGATGTAGACTGTAAATACTGTGTTTTACCAATATCACTTTCACCAGTGTCTTTCTTCTTTAGAAATGGTTCAATAGATCTATATTGGGCATAGAAATTACTCATATCCTACAATGTAACATTCCAAATATACATACATTGTGAACTTTACATTACATTTGCTTTGCTACCTCGAGCATTGGTGGTCATACTTGATCAGACTCTTTTCAATTCAAATTTCAGTCGAAAATTTCAGAGAGTATATCATGACATTGTGAAATTTCATTTAAAAAAATTCCACAAAAAGTGCCATAAAGACAAAAATAACATTATGGTTGGTTGTTAGAAGTAAAGTTAACGTCTGCTTCCATTATCGATAGCATGTCAGCCAAATTAAACTCTGGAGGGTTCACAAGGCATAAAGAAAAGGGAGATAACTTACTGGAACTAGATCTTTAACAACATACATATGAGGTAAAGGATAAATTTTGGTCACTTTACTTGTATTACTGTCAATTTTACTGAAAAAAAAACACAGAATACATGCATGAAAAACTCAAGGTTTAGCCAAAAAGTAACTCTTGTCATGGTTGATTATAATATTGAGAAAGATGGGATGAAAAGGGTGGGCTTGTGCTTTGAGGGGCTGCCATACTCATATATTATACATGAATTTCGTATGTGTGTTCATAATTAAAAAACAAAATGGCTATATGATTACTGTTGATTGGCCAAATAAAAATCATGTGACATTGTTAATATATGATCTTGGTCTAAATATGGAGGAAAAATATGTAACAATCTAACCAGGCACTAATGCCAAGACTTAATATCAAACACCATTAAAATGCAGCATGCCATTGCCATGGTCTGGACATATATCATTAATATTAAATATGTGGACTCACTTAATGCAAGCTAATGTATTGGTACCATTGATATTCATAGAGCAAGAGCCACAGATGCCTTCTCTACAGGAACGACGAAATGTGAGAGTAGGATCATCATCAGTTTTAATCTTAATTAGAGCATCTAAAACCATTGGACCACAGCTGAGATAGAGTAAAACAATACAAAATGAAGGTGAGGGTGAGGGAAAGATATTTGACTAAGGCTAGGATGGTGGAAAAATATATACTTGTTATTCAATACTGGGCATTCTCGCAGAGTCAGAACACTGTGAACAAAACTGTAAGACCTGGCACTAGCTATAAAAAGAGGTACATTATTTCAATCAAGCGCAATTCTATGCCTAGTGTCATTATATTTGTGTATTGTGAAATAACAGTGTAGTCTGAAAAACTGACTCTTACAAGCCTTTGAAGGATAATGCAGAAAGTTATACAGTATATTATTTGTTGGTAACCCAAGGCAAGATTCATTATGTTCCAGCTACTTACTGATTTAAATCTATTTCATACGTCTGCATACTGGGCTTAGCACCTGGACTATCAGGGTCCTAAAATGGAAAAACACAATTACGCAAATATAAGCTGTTGGAATCAGTTAGATTACTGATTTGAATATTATATAGATTTTAATTCAATTTAGCTAAGAAACAGTCAGCAAAAAAACTTACAAATCTGTAAATCTGGAATTTTTTCATACGAGGCTGTGTCTGTGTCTGTGATGCTGAGGCAGCAGCAGTCTGAGCTGCTCTCATCTGAAAATAAAACAGTAGTGCATCTTTAGTCATCTGGCCAAACGCTATACATTGATACCAGCACCTCACAACTTCAGATAGTCCTTGCCTTCCCCTGAATATTGTTCTTTAAAAAGCTTCATAGTCAGAAAGCAAGGGTAAGTTTTAATTAGTAGCCTATATGAATCATATCTATAAAGCAAATAGGACGAGACAGAATCTAAAAGCTGACAACTGAGGACAACTAAATAGTCTTATATTGACCTCATATCATTCTTTGAAAAATAAGGAAATATTGGAACTACATGTAAATTGTGAATATTTTAATTCTAGACATGTAAAGGTAATTTATATTGATAGTTTGTAATGAATTCCTAAGACTTTATATAATCATGTTTACATCCTAATGCCAAGGTCGTGGACGTTTCATAACATCTTTTGGGTTACTTGAAGGTTAGACTTGTTTTTAAAGCACGATTCGTTCGACATTTCCAAAAACCTGACTGTAAACACAATTATCAGTAATTGGTTGTCCTTTGGTTCATTTTTTGTTCATTACTTACCTGTAATAGCTGCACAAATGCATTTTTTGCAGACGAAATTTTCACCAAAGAGTTTCGTGCCGCCATCTTGAGTTCTCTGTAAAGCCTGCGCAGTATCCACTTCCGGTTATTTTAATGGCGGCCTAAACAAACTGTGAGTGATTGTTGTCAGACTGAATCTTATAAACTAATGTTTTGGATTTCTGCCAAACTGTTTTGAAACACCTTATGTAAAGGAAAGATTTCAAACAATAAGTTCCATCCATCGATTCTCTGCTCTTTTGAACCAACACTGAAAAGACAATGGGGAAACCTTAGTTTGAAAAATCAGACTTTTCTGTCTGACAGAAATTTGTCACAAAAATGCATGTTACAGCATGTTAATTCATTAACCATTAATACAAATAACATTTTTTTGGTGCAAATCAATGAAAATTGACCTGAATGTGTGTAGTTATTCCCTTGCAAAAGAGTCCCAAAGAATAATTACAAGCAAACGGGCAGCCAGAACGACAGAAGATTAATCACATTTTATGAAGACAAAGCTCCAACTCAAGACTGTAAATTTTATAATTTTTGTATTCTTATCATTTCAGGTCTAAGACATGGTGAAGAAAATGGCAGAAGGAATTCTTTCTAATCCTCATTACTCCACTAACATGCCTCATTTCAACAGAACACAGAAGTTTGACAGGTTTCCAATGACCAGTGTCCAAGATGAAGACATTAATCCCATCCACATGGCCCCTGTTCCGTCATGGCGTGACGAAATTTCATCAGCTACAGATCCATCTTTAACACTAACACCAGAACGATCGTCAAAACCAAAGATTTCAAACAATCCACAAACTACCAATCCTCCAGTTGTGACTAAAACGAAAATGAAACAGAAGCAACGAGTGCGTTTTGATTTGGATAATGATGACGATGACCTTCATTCCAGAGACACCCCTGATTCCCAATCATCCTCAAATACAAATTCCCCTTCTAAATCCACGCCACAGAAAGCTTATTGTCCTCAAATGTACATAAGTAAGCCAGATCAAAACGTGAATGATGATGAACTCGACATCACTCAAATGGAAGATGAAATCATTACTATTAATAGAAGATGTGACTCAGTTGAAACGGCCAAATCAGATTATAGTGAAAAGACAAACTCTCGATCAAGTTCAGTGGATTTAAGTTTCACGGAAACTGCTTTGAAATATCTCGCTATCCGAGAGTCGGAGATCTCGAAATCTGAATCTCCAAATCCACCTCAAATTGTTGATTCAGTTCCATCTCACGTTCATAAATGTCATGCAGTAAAGAACGTTATTGTGACTCGTGAATACGAAAACAGATCAACCCCAAACACTTATCAGTTTCCATTTGTGGACACTGCATCTTCTAGAGAATCGGAACACGTTTTGGCTCGTCCTGAATATAATACAACTTTAAAAATCAGCGAAGAACTTAAAGACTTAAAAGCCTCCAAACCCAAAGTTGCTCAAACTTTAAAACAGAAATTAAAAAGTTCAGAAGAGACAAGAACAGATATCAATGAAAAGGTAGGATTAAAATGAAATGAAAATTAAATGAATGGAGTTTTACGTCCTACTTTTCTGCACCATGTGGGAAAAGGCAGGATCAAATTATGAAAAACTTGCAAATGACCCAAGTGTATTCAAAGTGGTCCTTTTTTCAAAACTTATGTGTATGGAGGAAACTAATAGCATTTGTACCATTCCAATTTCTATGTGTCATGCAATTCCACTGCAACTAAGAGTTTTATGACATAGCTACTCTTGAATTTTATTACCAACTTTTATGACATCTGACAAAAAATTATATTCAAAAAGAAGCCATGAATAGCCGCTGATAAACATAATAAAAGTCAGAAAAATGCAGAAAATTCTTAGGATTTTAAATATGAAAGGGCCAAATATTACTAGAATTATGTTTAGAATTCTCCACATTCATGTATCAAATTTTTCTCATTGCAGGCGTCTGTTAAAGTGAATCGTAATGGAGAACTATTTTCTGGGTTAGTTGGTGTAGATCCAGACATCAATAAACTGTGTCTGGAGGTAGAAAGGGGGATAACTGGGAAAGTTAAGCCCAAAGTTAAATCAACTAACAAAGGCAGTACTGCATCAGGGAAAAAATCTGATCCGAAGGTAATTTCATAGCTGTATCATCAATTTTTTTAATTTTTCATTCAAAATTAAGGAGTCAGTTAGGGGCCATAGAGGTGTCAAGGTCAATTGAGGCTCACAGTCACTGTCTTTATTCTAATATTGTTAAAATCATCAACCTTCATTTTTTTCCTTTTTTGATTTCAGGCGCCAGATATTTTGGAATTCTACACAGACGATCGTCAACGTGAAATACCAGATTTGTCATTAACTAACATCACCATAGCAACAGAGAGTTTGTCGACTGCGGACCCCATGACAGCATTTGATCTGTATAGACATAATAGAGTGTGGGACACTTTGCATAATTAGTTTTTTTTGAAGGATTGTTGTCAGCTACCAAACTTGAGGAGAAAATGGATATGAACTATTAAATCAAAATCAAAATCACGAGTCTAAAAAAATAATTCCATCAGTTTGCAATAGTACCATTTTGTATCACCCTTTGTAATGAAACCCAATAATTTGACAATAGTAGGCTTAAAAAATAGCACCGTCTGATTATAATCTAGAGTAAGGTGGTGATTCCAGAAGTGGACAAAAGTTCAACAGTAGACAACCAAGTTGAAGGTGAGGATAGTTCAACAGTGAATCATTCTCTGGAAGATAACCCAGAGTAAAGTGATGACTGGTGTTACAACAGTGAACCACCCTCTAGAATATTACCCAGAATGAGGTGATGCCTGGTGTTTCTATGAACATGACAATAGTAGGTGTACAACATTGAATCACCAATAACCCAGTTAGGTGATGCCTATTCTTTAAAATGTAACCTAGAGTGAGGTGATGCCTGATGTTTCCGTGAACATGACAATAGTACAACAGTGAACCACACTCTGACATACAACCCAGAGTAAGGTGATGTCTATTTTTTGGAGTATAACCAAGAGTAAGGTGATGCCTGATGTCACCTGCAACAGTGAACCACCCTCAAAAATATCTCCCAGAGTAAAGTGATGTCTGGTGTTTCCATAAACATCACAATAATATAACAGTGGGCCAAGCTTTGTGTATACCTCCAGTGCATTAAAGACATCAGGCCTAAAAATTAATTAGAAGATCAAATGTAAGATATTGTAAAAACGTCCATTAAATTATTTTCATAGTAGCTGGTTTTTTCACTGTCATTTTTCCACTTGTAAGTATATGTGTCAGAATGCACCAAATCAATCCATTTTTTCATATCTTTAGAGAGAAACCTCTCTGTGAGGCTTGCGACTATAACACTTCCACAGAGAAGCCGAATTTTCAGTTCAGCCTCAGCAGTTGTCTCCCCTATTGAGTCAACCTGTCCCCTTTTTGTTCCCCCAGTCTCGGAAGGCTGGCACCATCACTGAGACAGATCGAGGGGTCACCACCCAACCGACATACAGACGGACATTTCTAATGTTTTACGGCCATAATGGAACTCTGTAACAAGATGGCGCCTACTAACGTAGTTGGCTAGACTCTCTCTATATACCGCTCTGCTAGAATCAACCAACAACAACTAAAAAATATTATTTATTTGTGTTTGATGGATTTTTTAATGGCCTTAAGCTGATCAGCTCCACCCCACAATTTCTTAACTATTGCCCTTTCTTTTACTAAACACAGCTGAACTCCAGATTCCTCAGTGTTACACACTACTTGTTTGATGCTCTGAGAAACGATAGGACTCAGAGTTCCTAGATATTCTTGGAGCCAATTCCTGGCATAGTCTATAGGATCATTATCAGGAATTACTTCATCCACAAGGTTCATCTTCAAGGCGTTTTCACTATCAACTAAGACTCCTGAATACAGTAAATGTAATGCATTTTTTCTACCAATACGTTTTGTAAGTAGCATGCCCCCAGCCCAACCTGGAGTGACCCCCATTTTACATTGCACAAAACCAATTTTGGCTGATTTAGTCATAAAGCGTAGATCACATGCAGTCGTTAGTTCAGCACCTCCACCAAGAGCATTGCCTTCAATAACTGCTACTGATAAAAACGGAAGTTGATATAAATTAGAAACTATTGTATGCATGAAACAGGACATGTAGAATCCATGCATTGGAGTCAAAATTTGTTTCACAAAGTTTAATTCACCACCAGTACAAAATGTCCCATCGGCGCCATGAAAAATCAGTCCTTTTCCAGATTCCCAATTTTCTAACTTTTGAACACATTTTTCAAAATCTAGCATCATTTGACCTGAAGAAAATTTAAAAAATAAGAGCCATTTTTACCTCTCCAGGGCCGGCCTGTAGCCAGACTTGATTATTTTCAGAGGGGAAAGTAATATATCCGGAGGGTCAATAGTGTATGGTTTATAGTTGCAATAGTGGTACTGGTTGGTTGTCAAATTTTTTTCAGGGGGATGGGGATATAGCAAACTCCCCCCACCCCTTTTTTGCTCCATTAATCTGTGTCTACCAACACTTCTGATAATGTCTGAAGGCGTCTGATCAAAAAATTGATTGTGCGAATTGATGCTATCAGTGTCCTTACATACAAAATTAAGAAAACTTCTTTACAATCTCTTTATTAAAGAGTTCATTACCTGTCATGGAATTTTTTTTGGTGGGATTATTAAGCGTCATGGTGGCAATACCAGTTTTATCATCCATAATCAAATCCACCGAACCTCCTGGATATTTCGCCAGCATATCTCGTGTCTTGTTCACTTCGTACGTCTGCTTGAGAGGAGATGCCACTTCATATTTCAACCTCAATTGAGGTCTGAACCTCGGTACCCTTCTCAACATTGTTCTTCCTGAAACAATTCAAAGGGATATCGTCATCTAATTGTTTGCAGTAACAGTTTTGAGAGTTCAATTCATGACTAAAATTTAAAAGTTCTGGCCAAAAAGAAAGGGTCCTATGCTTGGATACATTTCCTTAGACTTATAAGTTTACATTCAAAATATCAAAAGATGAAGGCTTCTCCTTCAAAAGAACATTTGCCAAACTGCCATAATGTTAGTCAATTTCGCCAATATCTAATAGAGTCACCCTTTTTCAGAAATATTTTGCCTTTAACTTCTACTAAAAAAAATTCGGAGACAGTGAGACTGCAATGTCGATGAACATAAACAAGAGTTCCCTCCCTTCCGTAAAATATGAATAAACGTTACTATGCTTGTAATAATGTCACCAATGAATTTCTGATCACGAGTCATGAGAGGGGTTGCTACTCTTATACAATGTCTTGAAAAAAACTCAACCTCATTCGATCCAAGCTGGAGATCTTAGAAAGCTTCATTTGTCCATGTCCAGGTACTTACCGCTACAGGCCGCGGCCATCTTGTTTTCTTCACTAATCGTAGTTAGTCTCATTCAATCAGACCAGGTTTGGTTTTGAATAATACAAGCATCATGCAAGGTATCGATATTTGGTTTTCTGATAAATATTACACAAGAAAAGTCAGGACTACTTGAAGGGATATGTTCGAAATTTTCGGGGTCGATTTGGGTCTTAAATATATGTTAATAGTTCTCAGAAATATACGAAAATCGCAAAAAAAAACTGTGAACTAGGAATTTCTCTTTATGTCTTTTATAGATACAAAGTCTCAAGAAAAGACGAGTCGTCTTTTTAACTTTCGAACGCCGATAATTCTGGACACACCTGGATTTGAAGTCTCAAAATTCGACTGTGAGGTGTGAACGAACACAAAATTCCCGTTTCTGACGAATAGTCAACCCCCAAACGGAGGGCGAACATGTCCCTTTAACTTATAATTTTTCATGTTTGAAACCCGTAGCTCGAACAGGACATGCGGATCATTGGACAGAACGAAATATAACAATTATAAAAATGAATTTACAATAAATATTTCTACAGAAATATTTCCCGCAATTAAGATTATTTAGACTATGTCTTTCAAATTTGGAGCTTTACACACTGCTTAAGGGACGAATCGGGAAGGGACCAAATGGGAAGTGGGCAAAATGGGAATAAATAGGGGGCGAATTGGGAAGGGGCAAAAGGGGAAGGGGTGAAATGGGAATAAACCGCTCAGCCCACTGTTGTGCTATTGTCATGTGTTTAGAAACTCTAGGCTCACTATGTAATCTCTGAACACCCGGGTTAAAGGAGGGCCACTTTGAAATGTTATAAAATAAAAACAATTTACTTTGTGTGTTAATCATAAATATTTATTTATAATTGTCAGAAATAAATTATAATTTATTTTGCAGGCAAATAACAATGTGGAGGGAAGCAATTGCTCCAATAAGTTCTCCAATACTCGGCGTATTCTGTCGTAACACAGTGGCTTGGCGGACAACATGCTCCGGACATTTGTCTATAACATTCATATCCTGAAATAGAAAGTTATTTGCATGGTCAAATACGTCACTTGTATTGTCGAATACGTCACTTTCATGCGTCAAATATGTTACACGCACACCTCAAACACGTCACTTGCATGTTAAAATACGTCACTTGCATAGTCAAATACGTCCACAAGCATAAGTCAAATACGTCACTTGTATACGTCACTTGCTTTGTCAAAAACGTCACTTGATTTTGATTTCAGAAGAATAATAAAAGAATTTATTACTCACCTTTAGGGCAATCATTATTACCCACACAAACTTCCCCTGGTTTTGCAGCGCACCCACAGTTTCCTGGTGGACCAAACGGTTCAATGGGTCCCCACGCAGCTGCAAATACACAAATATAATATTGTGAATCACTGCTGCAATCTATTATCTTGGACACCGATGAAGAGTAAAATAAATGTTATTCCCAAATTTGCCTTATTGCACACCACATGGCGTTGTCCGTGAATTACAAGGGCAATAAGTCATCATTAAATAAATCCAAAAAAACATGATTGGCAGTGGGTCAATTAGATGAGATGCCCGTGCATCTAAGTAGGATGATACCCCTCCCCTTTTAACATAATGTGCTTTCCTGCATTCTGAGACACTTCTGTAAGTTGAGAGGGGGCCTATGGAGTTCAACCAGTCCCCATGGTAGTTGAGTCATTGGTGATTGGGTGAGGAGCATCCTCTATGAGGATGAAAAAGCAAATGCAGAGTGTCATCAGGTTTTCGAATGCAAAAATGAAGTTTTATTTCTTACTTACTTTCTTGATTGTATTTGATATTGCCGTTACTGTCCCTACAACTGTATCCAGCAGGACACTGGCTGGAATCGGTACAGGGAAGATTGCTAGAGTCGGTCACAACATCATCTGGGTGAATCATGTCTGGGGGTGGCCCCATTGTTGTTGGTGGTGGTAATGTTTGAGGTAGTATTTCCTTCATGGGTTTGGCAAAAGACAATCCGTTAGCTACCTACAAAAACACACATCCAGAAGTTAAAAAAAGGGATAATGAAAAAAGAGACTCCCTGCGCTAAGTGACAATTGAAGAGATTACTACGTCACTGGAACAAATGTCATTTTGCCTGTACGATATATGCGAGAGTGACGTCATTAGTTAATCTTTTTTTGACTTACATGAACCAAATACGTCGATTCATCAAGGGTTAAAAAGATATCACGTAATGACGATACAACGTCCGTATATCAAGTAAAGACGATACAACGACCGTATATCACGTAAAGACGATACAGCGACCGTATAATGTATATCACGTAATGACATACAACGTCCGTATATCACGTAAAGACGATACAACGACCGTATATCACGTAAAGACGATACAACGACCGTATATCACGTAAAGACGATACAACGACCGTAAATCACGTAAAGACGATACAACGGCCGTATATCACGTAAAGACGATACAACGTCCGTATATCACGTAAAGACGATACAACGTCCGTATATCACGTAATGACGATACAACGTCCGTATATCACGTAATGCCGATACACCGTCCGTATATCACATAATAACGATATAAAGTCCGTATATCGCGTTTGGAGAATATGACCAAATTGTTGCGCTATAAGACGCAATACTCTAATAAATTTTGTAAAAGAACTCTAATAGTAAGGCAGTAAGGGAAATCTTGTCGCCTTAGGTAAATATCTTGTCTTCCTATATGTCAACAGTTCATACCCTTATGGTATATAAAAGACATAAAACTCTATTAATCCAATAATTCAATTTCCTACCTGAAACAGGCACGGAATAACCACCTGGAAAAAGAAAAACCAAGAAAAAATTAATAGTTATCATATGACCCAACGACTGATATCATGATGACTGATCAATGCTTCCGAATGTCGGTCCGTATTGACTTATTTTTTACCAGTATTGACCGGAGCCCAAACGGAATTTCCGTTCATACGTTAACGTGTGAGCACTCTTGTACGTACCCGTTCCGCGGTCTGCGGTCTGCGATCAGAATGATTCTGGGTTCTGATCGGAGTCTATATTTTGTGCATCATTTCATTTGCGTACACCAATATCCCTACCAATCTGCAACAAGACCTGTCCGACAATGCTGATCCGACAATGCTGATCCAACAATATCGCATACCGTCAACAATACCTATATCGTTGTTGTAATGTTCAAAAAGGTCCAACTTACCGTTAAAATAAGCAATTTTATCATTTTTAGTTCCGTTTACTGAACAAGTGTGGCAATTACGAACCACATGTGTTTATATACTACCCCAAAAAAATGATTGACGTAATTCTGTCGAATCAACCAATTAAAATGTCAGGCTGTGAAAGTAGGTCGCTGGCAGATCCTATTGACAGTTTCAAGTGTAAACAACTATTCACTTTTAAGAATAATTGAAATGATTAGAGTTTACGTCCTACTTTTCTGCACCATGTGGGCTAATGAAGACGGGCAACTCCATGCAGGGCGTAATAAGGGCAATTTGCCAGGACAGCTGCATATATAGACTGCTCTTTTTCGATTTCCAACTGTCGATGGGATTTTAACTTGCACAGACTGTAGCACACGCGTCTCGGTTTATTGTCCCGACTAGACGCTTTTTCCATGTCAGCCCCTCTGCATCACCGACAGGGGGAAATCGGGTTGAAAACTCTTGAATGAATTAAAGCAGTATGTAGACTAAGAGGGACTGGATGATGAAGTCTAAAACGTGGTTGACAGCCTTTTCCGAGTTTTGCTCAGTAACCGTGACGATATCACATCCGTATATCACGTCCGAAAAACGGGTAGGGCAAATACAGTTACATAAATCGTAAATTAATAATATTTTCCCAATACATGTATACGTAAAATACGAAATTGTACTCTAATTTTGATTAGGTCGGGGTAGGCCCAGATTTGTCGGGCAACGTTTACACATTAAAATATTCTGGTAAAAGTAAATGTAGTTTTGACTGTTCTATCTTTTCTTCACTCTTTGCATACCACGTGTCATCCGAAAATTCCCTGCAGTTTCTGTAAGAGAGGATGCCAGTAGAACTTCACGGTTGCCACAATGTTGAGATTCCAGCTTGTATTGCACACCCGACTTGAAAATTCTAATACTTATATAAATAGAAAGTGGAGGTGTTCTAATTACTTGGAAAAATACCAGTTTGTCTAACATGTCCATAATTAATTCATAATTATCTAAATTAGATGAGAATTTCCAACAGAATTCCAATGAGTGACCGATGAAGATAAAAAATAAGGAAACCCATCTTTAAAGGAGAGCCATTTTGAATAAACTGATGACATGAGGTAAAAAGGTAAAAAAATAACAATATACTTTGTGTGTTAATCATAAATATTTATTTATAATTTTCAGAAATGATTTATAATTTATTTTGCAGGGAAATAACAATGTGGAGGGGAGCAATTGCTCCAATACGCTGAACGATACTGGGCATATTCTGTTGTAACACAATAACTTGGTGAACAACATACCCCGGTCACTTCCTTGTAACAATCATACCCTGAAAGAAAAACTTAGACAATGAATTAGGCCTGGGAAGAGAGGGGGGGGGGAGTGGGTTGTCGCATGATGGTTTATGAAAAACGTGAAATGCATAAGGTAACCCCCTTTACGCTTCCCGGCTATGATTTGCCATTGTACACGTAGCCTGTTTCACTTGAAATCTTGAATCAAGATTCATCAGGTCACCGCATTCGATAAACTTCAAATACGTCACTTTCATGGTCAAATACGTCACTTGCATGGTCAAATACGTTACTTTCATGGTCAAATACGCCACCTTCATGGTCAAATACGCCACTTACATGGTCAAATACACCACTTTCATGGTCAAATATGTCACTTTCATGTACGTCACTTTCATGGTCAAATACGTCACTCTCAAATACGTCACTTTCATAATCAAATACGTTACTTGTTGCGAAAAGTAAAATACGTCAAATACGTCACTTGCATACGTCAAATACGTAATTTGCATACGTCAATTATGTCGTTTGTATACGTCAAATACGTCACTTCATCTAAATTTCACACAAATAATTAAAAAAAATTATTACGCACCTTTGGGACAATCATTGTTATTCACACAAACTTCTCCTGGTTTTGCAGCGCTCCCACAGTTTCCTGGTGGACCATTGGGTTTGATATATCCCCACGGACCTGCAAATGGTCATTTTGATTGTGACTCACAAATCAACAAGTACGATGATGTCAACATTTTCCTTTTTGCACACCACGTGCCTATTATCATGTGTTCAATCGGTAACAGAAAAGTCGGACATAAAAATCGAGATATCAAACGAGTGAGATAGCTTATAGCCCCGTCACATTGGACTGCGACCATATGCGATCTTATTAGGTCGTGGTCAATCGTGAGGAAAACTAGAGAAAAGGTTAAAAAAAAAACTGCCAACTTAAAAACAGTCAACCTCATACCACGAGTTATGCGACCATATTGCGTTCTAACGTTTTTGCAACGTTTTTGTCGCGTGTGTAGGCAATTTTTCGATCGCAGTAGCAGCGCAGTAAGAACGCCTTTCCGATGTGACTGTGCCAAGTCAGTAGTGAGTCGTCTTCAAGATAAGAACACTTCTGAAGCCACGACCAGTGCTTCCGAGAGTTAGTTCAGTGTTGGCTTTCACCCCCTATCACCAACTTTTTACCTTCTTGATTGTATTTAATGTTGCCGTTACTGTCCCTACAACTGTATCCAGCAGGACATTCTTTGGAATTGGCACAGGGAAGTTTGTTGGGATCGGTCACCTCATCATATGGGTTAATCCTATATGGTGGTAATTCTGGTGGTGTCGGCTGTGGTCCTTCCGTGTATGAATAGGACGTCTGGGTAGAAACCTAGTAGAAAGTGATTCAAATGCAAACGCCATTGGGATCGTTTTAATGTCCCAATTCACGGACACAACCGAAAATAAGAAACAGAACAAAGATTTCTTGACCAAACAAAGTGACTGCTTGTTGCTCTTCTGATTACGTTTCCCTTATTGCACACTGCACTGTCTGTCTGTCAATAAAGGGAAATAATTCAGGGCATTGAAAGAGGGTTATTATGTCAATGCATTTCATCGTCTATCAAGTTTAGTCCGTCCGTCGGGATATACAAAAGACGTAAAACTTCATTCTATTCGTAATAAAACAAATTCTTACCTGAATCAGGCATGAAATGAACACCTGCAAAAAGGAAGCACAACAAATTTGAATTGTGGCGCCATCTAGCGAACGGAGGTTCGTTTAGTTTGCATCTCTGCTAGAACTAAATCTCTTAATCAATTACAGTTCTATATGGTTCTTTGTAATACTGGTCGGGAAATCGGGATCCTCTTCATCGTTTAAGTTCAAAAAGGTCCAACTTACCGTTATTATGAGAGGTTTCATCATTTTTAGTTCCGTTTATTGAACAGGTGATGCAGTTTCAGACGACGTGAGATTATATAAGCCCCAAAACCAATGTGATTGACGTAAAAAATAAATATAAAAAATATGAAATAGTTATTTTCAGAATATGTAACAATGTCTACGTCCACGTACAATGTGGAGCATATAATGACGTCACCCATGTCCGCCAGTCTGACGGTCCGTCCACAATTGCTCGTAAACACTCCATAAAGTACAATTCTTTACGGAATATGACGAAACTTAGTGAAATTGTTTATTATTATCTAAAGATGAACCCTATTGAAAATAAAAATATTGAAAAAGATTTTAAAGCAAGTTATTGCCCATGTTTTAAAAAACGCGTTCAATTTTCTTAGCTCTTAAACACTCTAAAAGGCACAATATTAAATCAAACTTAGTGAAAATGATAAGTGACACGAACATAAGGTAGCATGTAAACATCGTATAGAAATCAAAATTAATTCCACTCTGACACTTGAATGACACCACGATTCCAGCTTGTTTTGAGTGCATGCTAAATTTGGATCTTTAGATATACTTTTCATATCAGTTTTTATTTATTGGTTGACATTAGTCCTTTGTGATCGGATGTCAATGTCAATTCTTAACAGTTGTTTCTGACATTGGAATTTCGCCCTATTGCCATCTTGATTTTTTAATGAAATGAGATGTTGTAAACGTCCTACTTGTCAAATGAAGCAAATAAGTGCAGAAGATATGTCTTCACTTACGGGTTTAACACAAAACCGAAACCAGGACATTTTATTTATTTCTGGGTAGAGCATTCCCTTTACTTTGCTTAATTGAACTAAATAACACATAACATTTTGCGACAGTGGCTCATCAAACCCTTAATTTTAGTGACTATGGTAAAGGTATAACGTCTGCTTCGTTATCATTGTGAAGACTGAAGATGTGACACAGTGTTAAAACTGCAAGAACCACAAATGTCTGACTGAAAATTGGAATGGTGCGAATAAATGCAAACAGCGCTCCCAATACACAATAAAGTTTTTAAAACCTTTCTACAATCCCTTTAAGAATACCAACATATATATACATAGACCATTTTTTTATTAAACTAAAACTGCTTTGAATAAAGAAAAATAAAAAAATAAAATCACTGAGCAAAAACATCGGGTGTTAACTCCATTTTATTTTGATGCCTTTCGATCACAGTGTCCGCAACGTCGCCTTTATCCATCTCGCGGAGGGCACGTTCCAGTTCCCGAATTCTCTCCCTTGTTTTTCCCTCTTTAGTTAACTCTTTCCACATCAGAACGCATTTCTCCGATACAGAAACCTTCTCCGATGGGCTGGATTGACCGAAGCCGTTAGGGTTAACATCAAAAATGTTCCTGATAATTGCTGCAGTAGGGATATTCAACAACATGGCGAACATGATAATGTCAATGTCGTTCTCTTGCCCCAAGAAGCGCGCTAACAACGTCATACTGCTTTCTGAGAGAACTTCGACTTCCTTGGGTTTCTGAGGTGGTGGTGCATCTTCTGAAAATATCAAAAGGATTCAAACTATATTGCATATTGAAATTTCTTTTATCCAAGAAGTGGCAAGGCCATAGCTCTTGTCTAACTTTTGGACTGGCGGCAAGAAAGGAGTCTTATCTCTTCAAAAATAAAACTGACTGAAATAAATGAAGTTTTCCGTCTCGTCTCGACTTAACATTAGAATCTGCCTCCTGTGCGAGGACATCCGACAGGCTAACATACAGAACAATGAGGAAGTATATCAATCAGAAATGATGAAGAACTTCATAATGAAAAGTGGTATCAGGTGTCTAGAAAAGTAAGCACATCTGGCCTGGCACCACAACCGCAATTGCTACTCAATATTATAAATCAAAATCGAAACACTACACAACTAATCAGCATAAAAATCAAAACTAAATCCTACCTTGATCTGCCATTTTGAAAGAATATATTGATATAATAATACTAGTAGGCCTATATCTTATCTTTTAATACCCTTTATTCAAATAGCTATACTTTATAATGGCCTTAACTACGACATAAACACATTGTCGCTAGCCAGATATCATATCAATGATCATCATTATCTGTGTATTGTCGTATTAGACAGTCGGTTATTGATTTGTGAAAATGATTGAAGAGATACTTTCAATATAATCCTGTTTTAATTGTAAGGATATGACATGAAATGAATGGAGTTTTACGTCTAGTGCCGCAGTGGCGTTTTTAATTTCATTAATTAGTAGGTCAAAGAATTGTCGAGGGGGGGCTCACAGCATCAGGCATTTACGAAACGATAAGAAATTTGAAAGTGTGTGTGTATAAGGACGGGGGGTCGGATAGTGGTGCCAATCCAGTCCAGCCTCATTTCGTGAAGGGGGGGGGGGGGGGGGGGGCATGATCGTGGCACCAATAGTGTGGAAACACAACTGTCTCAAACACAGTGTAGGCCTAATCTGGTTTCTACATGAAAAGTGTATGACCGTATGCCTTCAAAATGTAGGAAAAGTATTAAAGCTATGTTTTTACCTGGTTCGGCTCCTTCCGTAATAGGTGTGTTCATCATTATATAAGTTTAGCCATTACTTTTAAACCATTTCTTTAACAAAATCAAGCAGGCAAAATTAATTCGGCTTCATAAGGAAATGAAGAAAGTGTTGCATTATGACGTCATTTGCTAGGCCACGTAGAGACAATGGTCTTTTGATTTAGGTCGGCTATCACCTTGATGACCTTGGACATGTCATCCGTACAAATTCCCAAGCTTTTACCCCCCCCCCCCCCCCTCCCCCCCTCCTTATCTTAGTAAGCATGTTACCTCCCCTTCCCTTTCCCTCCCCTTTTCGCATCCTTTCTTCCTTTACTCCTTTATTTTCCTTCCTACTTTCTTTTCTTAAATACTTATTTAAAGCCAACTTTACGTAAAACTTTAATACAAAACAATAGAAAACAACAAAAGCACTTCCAAAATAAATATAAACTATGCCATACTGCAACGTATAAAAGGGATATGGTCCACTAAAATTTTTTTTTCTCTATCCTTTATTACAAAAAATATACAATAATACAAACTTGAGCTAAAAGAGATCTAATTTGGCAAGTTAAAAAAGCACTAGGCAGTATTGTTCAACAGGGCTGTGGTTTGGTACAATTGGCCGGTCATGTCTGACAAAATCTACAGATGTACAGATTTTATCATTATTATTAGTATTATCGTCATCATTATCATCAATATTATTATCATTTTCATAAATATTATTATTTTCATTATTATTATTATCATTATTATTTTCATTATTATTATTATCATTATCATCAATCATCAATATTATTATTATTATCATTATTATTTTCATTATTAATATTATCATTATCATTATCATCAATATTATTATTATTTTCATTATTATTATTATCATTATTATTTTCATTATTAATATTATCATTATCATTAATATTATTATCATTTTCATTAATATTATAATCATTTCCATTTTCATCATTATTATCATTTTCATTATCATTATCATCAATATTATCATCATTTTCATCATTATCATTAATATTATTATCATTATCATTATTATTATCATTATCATTATCATCAATATTAATATCATTTTCATCATTACTATTGTCATTATCATCATTATCATTATTATCATTATTAACATATTTCTACTACATTAAGTTATTAAAAATACACTAACTAATATCATTCTAAAAGCACCTTAATAAACATACGTCTTATTTTTCTTCCAACAACTACTGAATCAAGTACTAAAATTCATAAAATCCATAAAATTCATAAAATTCATAAAATCACAAAATACATCAAAATACTGGTACAAAATCACAATATTAAAATATAATACCACTGACAACTTGTACAAATATAAAGGGTCTTAAACTTAAAAAATTTACCCAGATAATTCAAAATTTATTCATTTCTGTATCAAGTGGTATCTTAAACAAATTCAGAATGAGAAAAAATAATATTAAGAATTATTATGTAAATTTGGAATGCTTAGACACTTGGGCCTCTGGAATGCTTAAATAATTGGAGCACTAAAAGTATACAGGAGCTTAAAATTCAAGCTTAAGCTTAAAGCCAACTTAAAGGAATGTTAAGATTAAATCATATTAAAAAAGTACAAAAAAATACACAATTTGAGATCAAAATAGGCTTTTGGCAAATACATCTAAAGCACTAGATGCCCCCCCCCCCCTCTCTCTCTCTATTGTTCATGGCCCCCATGACATCTTCCACACATGAATTAACTTAGATTTAAAGCAACTCTGACTATTTTTGGCATTACCCTTGGTAAATGAAGATACTAGTCCTCTTCATCCCATCTTCCCAGAACACAAAATACAAAAACATCATCCAAACATCAAGGAATGAGTTAACAAGAAATTAAAGCAACTCTGACTATATTTTCTCCATTACCCTTGGTTGATGTAGATACTGCTAATTCTGCAGAACACAAAATACAAAGTCATCTTCCACCCATCAAGGAATTTAAAGCAGCTCCAACTATTTTTTCTACAACCCTTGGTAAGTACAGATACTGTTTGCTTTCCTGTTTATTCTGATACTCAAACTGGCTACTGTAAGAGGAATGGGTCTTTTCCAATCTACAAAACATAAAAAAAACACCTTCATTTCAGTCTCTGGAAATTCAAATTTTAATTTCATGCTTTTTCACAGTTAACTCAATCTTGCTCGTTTTTTTTCTCCTAGTTGTCCACTCTAAACCCTTCAACTTATCTTCTTAATCACCCATGAAGGTTTATAAATTTATCTTTAAAAGTGTCAAAATTAAACTTCTATTTTTCCCTAGTTTGGCAAGCTCTGTATAAGTAAAAAAATGAGTATTATACTCACAATTATACTGTATAGAGTTAACTTACGTTTCTTGGCCTTGATCATCAACATGGTTTGGTAAGTTATGATGATTTATAAAGTCTAACACTGCTAGATATACACGACATTTGTATTCTTCAAAACTGAAAATAAACATCCATATATTATATTGATAGGAAATCTGGTTTTCAAGAAATCTTTTCTGTCAACTGATCCTTGGTCATCTGTCAACAAGGTCATCATAAGGTCAAATTTTAGTGTAATTGCAAGAACCACAGACGTCTGATTGAAAATTGGAAAGGTGCATATCAATGCTATCAGTTTTCCTTATACACATAAAACGTTTTTCTTAAAGAAACCAAATGTCAAGAACTGAAAATAATATCAATTTTATAAAATAAATGTTTACCTATAGTAATTGTTATTTGAAGTATATACGGAGATATATTTCACTAGTTTCTCTAGACCACAAGTTGTCCTGAAATACACAAAATACAGTGATAGTAGGTAATATCTCCATTATCTGAGATTTTGGTCATTGTGTAGATTTCAATGGAGTGAAATCCTAGAAAAGTAAAGAGCTCAGTTTATGCTGTTGATATGTGTTTGGGTATAAAATTCTCACCAGTATAGCTAGTTTTGGAAATGGAAGTTGACTCTCCTATATCAGGTATAAGCCAAACTAAACTCTACAGTTGGAAATGGAAAAATTTCCCTCATTGACCACTGTTTGGCAAAAACTCATTGAATCAGATCATTTGAAATGTTTACCTATTAGTTGAAAAGTTGCCAATGATAGAAGACATCTTTTTATCCAATAAAACATGTTTCAGTTGATTGTGTGCGGGACTGTCTGGCTGTAACCATGGAAACGCATCTTCGTCCTCCAGGGGACCATGTAGACATTGGCCACTCATCCATTTGTGGTTGTTCATTGTGTGATGGATTATACCAGTCACAAAACTGTCCTGAAAAAATATTGAAGATTAACTAAAAGATGCTGTGGTATTCAAAACATTATCAAAACATAATATAAAGGTAGCATCTTTCAGTATAAAGGGATTGCTAAACTTACTATGTGTATAGGGGACACTGATAGCATCAATTTGCACCATTCCAATTTTCAATCAGACTTCAGTGGGTACTGTATGTATAGAAATGCTTAACCATATATGACGAGCAGAACAATATATGACATTACTATCTCAAAAGCTGCTAATGGTATCTAGGGACCCTTGCGATATCTACATCTTATCAGAGGTGTATCTACATTTTATAGAACTATTTATGTCCACAACAAAAAAATGACAGACGGACGGACAATTAACATCACCATATCCATTTGACTAATATCTCCAAACCTTGAAAGCCTCTTCATCTGTTGAAACCCATAAGGATCCAGAAATTTCGGCACAAGTTTTACTCGTTTCAAGGAAATGGTTGATAATTTCTGGTAACCATGGCAACAGATTTTGACAATTAGTATGGTTGGATGCCTAAAGAATAGGGACAAATAAAAAAAATATATATATCAATATGATAAGCATTTCTTCTTCGACTAAATGTTTCATTCCTTTACCACTTCAAGGCAAACAAGTAAATTCTGAAGCCACGCCCAGTGCTTCCAAGTCAACCCTATATCGGCCTTAAACCCCTATCACTAGACAAGAAAACAACTTGAAGCCAACCCAAATCCTTAAAGATTTAGATAAATATAAGATTACCTGAACTATGGTTTTTCCAATAAATTTGGCTCCATCCCACATATCAAAGCTTCTCTTAATTTCTGGATATTTCTTTCCTGTTGGAAAAAAGATGGACATATATTCCGTGGAGCAAAGCTTTTCTATCTGGAACAATCTATGACATTCTTGTATCACAGAATGCAGCGTACGCCAGCAAATACAGCAAATCAGAGCCCTCGCCAGAAAGGCTGTAAACATGAGGGCATTTTGCTTTCTGTCAGGGACTCTGTATTTGCTGGCGTAAAATCCAATCAAATCGCTGCATTCTGTGATACAAGAAAGGTGGCTCTTGCAGTCAAGGTATAAGACAAAGTTTATATAGTTTGACAATGTGTTTTTCTCAGAGTGTGAATAGATGACAATGTAATTAAAATACCAGGATATAAACAGGCATAGGAGAAGGTTCACTTACTTAAAAGGTTGTTAATTTTTGGCTGAATGTTTGTGACTACTTCAATCACTCTTGCACCAGACGCTTGAACTGATTGAAGAGCTTGAATAAAGGCCTGTAACTCTAATTTCTCAGAATCCATTGCGACATCTACACTGTCTTTATCAAGTATGGAAATATATAACACATCATTGGATTCATAATCTAACACACAAAATGTCAGAAATTTCATCAAATCTTCAGATTGGTCTCTCAAACCACACCCTGGAATAAAATGGAATTTTACACCCTTATTTTCTGCTCAGTATTGAAGGAATCAATAAAAGTGGCAAAATATAGCTATGGAAATTCATAAATATACAAAGGATGGGTCTACAGGTGCACTCCCTTAAATCAAAATGGTTCCAAACAAATTTGTAATTTTCGAACATTATTATAGAAAAACCCATGGACACACATCGTCCATTTTTCCAAGTGACTCTTGGCGATATTTATATCTGATTTATCTATGAAATCACTAAATTTATTTTGTTTTTTATTCTGTTGATGTACCTCAGTTTATCCTCAAACAAGATTGATCCAATCCAGAAGCGGCAGAGCTAATTTAATGCAAGATCTTAGGAAGTCTCACCTACTAAAATCCAGTGTTACCATCTCAAACTTAACTTACCCACTAAAATGACATCTCTTCCATTTAATGCTGACAATATTTCACGTTGTTCTGAATTCCAATAAGATAATATTTTGGGCTGGACGAAGTTACAGTTGAAATATTCAAACGATTCAGAGTTTATACAATCTATATTGAGAAGTTTAAATAGTAACGCTATTTGGTTGTAATTACACCCAGACATCACAATACCACACGCCAATATCAGATCTCCCAGATGACCTTCACCTTGTAATGACGGCTGCGATGACCATTCTCTTATTGTATGACCTTTGGAGCATGCCTTAAAGGAAGAAGGAATGCTTGAATAGACTTGAATAATTTAGGAATTTAATCATCTTACTAGCTTAGTAGACAATCCAATCAAATCCATTCATTTACAAACTTCAATGATACAAAAAAAGGTTACTATTTCAATTGCAGTCAAGGTATAAGTACAAATCTCATAGAGCTCAATTTCAGCTGCCTGTAGGGATAACGTTTGTTCCCTTTGATTAGCCCAATCATGTCAGAAAAGCCGGACATAAAACTCCATTCCATTTCATTAAAAGTCTGTAAATTATCAGGGTTCAATTTTTGAGATTAAGACCCAAGATCTTGGGATTATCTTTTTAAACAAAGCTGAACTCATTTTCATCAATGAAAGCTTCAAAAACAATACTGGTAAATCTAGTCTAAAAAGACATACCCATATAAAGTAGACAGTAGTTCCAGTCTGTTTTTTCACCATACTGACGTCAGCTCTACAGTTTTTAATGTTACAATGAGATGGAGGGTTCTGATTGGCTAACTGTATCAAACAGCTGTTATGAACAATATATGCGGATTCTCTTGAGGCAGCACATGGGTCTGTGACATAGGCTGGGTGCAGAGTGGTCTGGTTGATTCTGGTGGCATCGTTCTCAATACTGTGACCATAGTTCAGGTTGAAAACTTCATCTATAGCACTTACTGGTTCCAGGTCTAAATCATTCTCTCTTTCTTGTTGCCTGTTGAAATACATACTATTGTAAGGGGTTTTGATATGGTTGTAGTTACCAGTCATGTCTGACTAGATTCTTGGTTGTTGATTTGGCTGAAGTTTTTCAGAATAGAATAGCAAATTGGTTGTATTTACCAGTCATGTCTGACTAAAGTTCTAGATTGACAAGAAATACCAAGAAACTTACGGAAACTGTACACCATATTCACTGAGATCAAAACTTTGAGTTTTTGTTGCTTTATTCATCTTTCGAGATTTCATGGAACCTTTACGCCTGAAAATGAATTTAGAATTAAGATCACAAAATATTGGTCATTTCTCTATTCTTCTTTGATGTACAAACAAAAATTTGATAAAGAATAACTTACCTCAGTGATAATATTTTGAGAAAAATAAAAAGGCCTACCTTTTACTTGTTCCATTTCTTGGAGAATCAGTTTGAAGATAGCTGAAATCAGGAAAAAAATATCTGATAAATATGACCACAAACAAATCAAGAAGACTTTTAATATAGCTTATCCAAAATAACCTGATGACCTGATGAGTAAGGGCAATCTTCTCCATATCAACTTTTGGAATATTCATAGATACAACACTATGTGTGTAAAATCTTTTGTCTTGGGATTATCTGTTATCTGATACAATGAACGAATATACATCACTGTCACTGGTCTGCAAAGTATCAGTATCTTTCCATTCCTGAAGACTGCAGGTGAAATTGTATGTGACAAGTGATGTTCCATACACACCTGTCAATGAGTAAAGTAGCTAAAGCTTCATCAGACAGTTGTAATACTGATTTCAGCTCATTCCATCGAAGTCCCTCACTCTTAATGTCTAACCGACCTCTTTCAGACGCCATTTTCTTCTTTATCAAGACATTAAATCATAAAAAAAAATTAATTATTTCTGTGAATCATTGGAATTTGACGCCATATTGTTTACATTGACTTCAATGATTATCCAGCCTTTTTTATAGTAAAAACACTGCAGTGAATGACGTCTGGATAACAAGAAAATAAGCTACTGGCTCAACTCTACTTCCGACTTGTTTAGCCTCTACAAAGGTCAAGGTTCAATCAATATTTGTCAACAAAACAACGTGGTGAAGTTCCATATTTTGACAGATTGAACATGATTGGGGGCTAGTTCAATCATTTTGAACCATGTCGGGTGGAATTGAAGTGAATACTGCCTATAAAGGCGTAGCAGCCTCATGGCTTGGTCTAGATCCTAACTTTTATTCAAAGAAAAGAAAGGCTCTTGCTGACGATGATGATCCTCTGACATCCACTAATGGCGGTGGGACCAATTTCAACAAACATAAAAATTTCAAGAAACACAGCACTACAAGGTTCATTCCTTTATGCAATCTGTTGAATTATATTCAAGCCTGCGATTTAGAAGAGGCATTATCCTATTCATTCATATGAGGCCCCTATTCTTTTTACTCATTGTTACACTAACAACATGTACTGTAGGCCTACTGCCTGAATCATGCAGTCAGCAGTAGTTAATGGGTGTGTTTAATCCCTGAAAGATCATTGCCAATATGTTTCTACCACACCCAGCTGGTAGAAAAGATCCTTGTGAACCTAAGTTGTTTTCCTTGTAAAAAAAAAATTGTTCTTAATTTTCTTATAGCCCTGTCCATGGAGTAAACGATCGTAAAATGGCTACACATAACTCCAGATTCATTAAAAAGTTATGATTTAATTTAAGGTCAGGAGAAAAGGACACATTAACCAAACATCAGAGTCACGAGAAGAAAAAATCTGAAGTCATTAAAACGAACAGTCTGATAAAGAACAAGATAGAAAGGAGATTACAGTTTAATGCTAGAGATAGACATCCAGAGTTTAAAGGTGGGAAAAATTTAATTTTAATGGCTGTGCCAAAAAATGAAATGAATGGAGTTGTACGTCCAACTCTTCTGCACCATGTAGGCTATTGAGTACGGGCAACACCATGAGGACAGCTTCATTAGCTTTCTCTGTTTTGATTTCTAACTGTCAAGGAATCTTTAACGTGCACAGCCTATAGCACAAGGGGCCTCCCAACCGAAGACTATAAGCTTTTTCCATGTCAGCCCCTCTTACCTGCAACACTGACTGTAAAAAAGAAAAACCTTTTTTACGTGTAAGCCTTTGAAAAACTAGTGGCCTTGAATAAGTAATATTTTCTCATTATTCCAGAGCGGTAAAGGGGTACAGATGATCTTGGAAACTAAGATTGGACCAAATGGTCAACATGGAGTAGATTCCCTTGAGTCCTTCTTTCTTTTTTTCTTTAATTTGATTTTGTTTTAAACTTTCCCACTTTTGATCTTCTTCTATTTTCAGGTAAAAAAAGGACAATTTGTGAAGAGGAAGATGAAGAAGAAAGTAAAAGTTTTCAAGTGAAAAATAAAAAAATCAAACCTCAGACGGCAGCAGCAACGAGTACGTCTCAAGGCCAGACAATTAAAGACCTCAATACTCGGTTACTTGATCCTGGGCTTTCTAAAAAAGCACGAAAACGCATCAGAAAGAAAATGGCTACTTTAACTACTTGAAATAACTGAAATGATATCATTGAGAGTTTTGCTTCCTGTTTTTCTATGCTAGATAATGATAACAAACTCTTTAAAGATACATTACCTCTTAGGATGACCAAAAAATTGAGATTTTTAAATTGGTTAAAATTTGTCTTTGTTCATCAGTGGACTTACCTGGTGTCATAACTATACAACATAATCCCTCTTTAATCCAATTAATCCATTAAACTAAGTAATAATTCATTCAATTAAGTAATAATTCATTCAATAAAGTGATTTTGAAACATGCTTAGAAGCGTATTTCACCAATTACTTAGTTTAATAGATATATCATCTTATATAGGGATTCTATTCTTTAGTCATGGCACCTGGTAAGTCCAACAAGATTGATCATCCATTCTAAGTGGTACTATCTCTTTAATCAATTGAAGAATGCTTCAGATTATGACTAAATGATAATGGGAGCTCAGAAACGCAACAGAACAAAAATAGCTTGATGTTACTGAAATGAAAATAATTGTACTTTTTCTTCTTACATTTCTTCAACTGAAAAGAAAGGATCTCTTTATCAACTTAAAATGACTGAAATGATTTGAATTGGGTGTTTTATATTCAAATTTTTATCTACCTTATTGGACTTATGAGGATGGGGCTTATATTACTGCAACTGATAGTTATTGGCAGGGTGTGCTTACTCTTCTAGACACCTTATACCACTTTTCATTATGAAATACTTACTCAATTATGATTGATATACTTCCTTGTGTGAAAGCTCATTAGCTGCTACCAATGTTTTGCCAGTATGTTGTATGGATTTGTTCTTGGTTTATTTATTTTCATGTGCCTTATTAGACCAATGAAATATATTGGAGTCAATCTTCAGCGTCTTATGGACCATTTTTTGGAATTTTACTACATTTTTATAAACATTAATGGGATATTGGAGTTAGCAGGACTGCTGGTCCAGTCAGCAAATCTTGGCAGCTCAATAGTCCATTCCATTGGTCTATTGTTTGAGTAGCTCTTTTTTTTCACCTTATCAAGGCAGCTTTTGAAGGATTTAGCGATTTTGTCACATTTCGGGTCATGCTGAAGACTATTGACATATATTCATGACACAAATCGACCCCCAAAAATGGTGAATCTGTCCCTTTAAATTGTTATATAAATTAAAGAGTTAAATACTATTAAAAGCCTCTGTTTTCATTGGCTGTCCCAGACTGGAGGTACAAGTACGGGATAGACTGATTCTATCGGGGGACAAATGTTGACTAATTTTTAAAATTAAAGTGGGGGGGGGGGGGGGGGGGGGGGGGGTGCATTTAAACCCCCCAAACTCCATTGGGCGGATTA